TTTGACTTTAAAGAACAGCGCTACCCAAGGTTTAGGACCATTTGTAAAGAAACTTGGCAAGTACTCCAGACAGTGGTGTTTTATGAGCTCCTACTTTGTGTAAGTTGCTGAGTGTGACTTAGTTTTATTTTCATAAAGCCAGAAATTTGCACCACGTTTAGGTGGTACACACAGCCCCAGAGAGTTTGTATTGCTTAACCACCCACCTGCTATTTCAGTTAAATCTTGGCTGGATATTTTGGTTACTGCTGGGATTCTTGCTCGTGAAAAGTGCTGAATCCTCATCAAAGCCTTTCCTCTTTCAGTGGAATCACACAATCCCATCTTGTGTAACTCCTGGGTTTCACATCCTGAATATGATAGAAATAGTGAGAAATAAAGTTGAACCACACTTATATTGATGCCCCTGTCAGTTTCCTTCCTTGAATATGTCTATATGTAGTGTTGAAGTTTCTGTGCAGAATTCTCACCTTGTATTGTCTAGGGTTGTATAGACAAGTAATTTTTTAGGAAGCAGGTGACATTTGGATCTAGGTGAGTGACACATAAATGACTTTACACCTATAACTCACTACTCCCTCCAGAATTCCATTTTGATCATTACTTCCGTAAATCTTCCCTTCCAGCTTAAGGAAGATGTGACACAGATGTATGGATCCCTAAGTGAGACATTTATACTTGAGTATGCTATTTAGATGTTTCCAGCAATGTCCTCATCACATGTTGCTGCTGCTTATGACCTTTCTGTTTTCTTAGCCTGTCAAGCAGCAGTTCAGTGGCTGAATACCAACCATATCCTCTTGTGAAATAGGCTCTTGGGTTCTGTTTGAAATTTCTAAAAGATAAATAAGTCAGAAAATGTTTGAAGGATGTGCCTCTTACGCAGATTACTTAATTAGTATGCCCATCTCTTATTTTCTGAGTGGTCTTCCTGAGTCACCTTTTCCCAGTTGTTTTAAGTGCGGTATAGAAGAGAGTCTTCTCTTTTGTCTCTGGCACTGGTAAAATTCCATCTTGGTGACCTCAGCAGGTGATCCAAATGATGATGAGTTACCGCCGACCTTTAAGAGTAAGTTGTGGATGACTAAAGCATGTAGGGGCCTGATTACCCGTCACACAGAGGCTTTCAGAGATTCATTTGTACTACTGTCTGTTGCTGTGTTGATTTCCTTCCATATTGGATGACTACTCTGGCTATGACCTTTTACTTTTGACTCTGTTGGAGAGGAAGTTAGTATGTAAATGTTTTTCGAAACGGTTCTTTTTTAGCATCTGTGCAGCTGATGGGCAATATAAAGTCTCTGAAAAGGGGTGTCTTCCTTCAAGGCAGTACTACTGTACTTGTGATGAGAGTTGGGGCTTTGAAGCCAGTCGACCTGGGTTATAATCTCAGCTCTTCTACTTCCTAACTGAGTGACTTTGGGCAAGTTACTTGGTATTTTCAGTGCCTCCATTTCTCTTCTGTAAAGTAGGCATAGTGCAACCACTTTGAGGTTGTCATAAGATAATGTGTAAAATGTTTAGTGCTTGGCACAGAATAAAGATTCAGTTAGAGAATAGTTACTACTACTGCTGCTGTTATTTAAAAAATTTTAAAAAGTGTGTGATCAAAAAAGCAAGTATGATTCATGATGGTAAATGCTCTAATGGAAGTTTTCATCTGTCATCATGGAGAAGGGAACCATTGATGCCCACTGACTGTGGGCGTTAATGAGAGCTTCATAAAAAATCTTAATAGATGAGATGGAATTTTCCTGGTAGAGATGGGAGAGGTTTCCTAGGGAAAGGCGTAAGGCTGAGAAATGAGCAAGCTGAAACAGTGTTGGCACCTTACTCTCTCTGGGGTAACGCCGGTAAGGTTTTGTTTGTTTAAACAACGCAGTCCCCTGCGCAGATCAGTTCTGGTGGCAACATGACATCTTGTTTGGAGAAGGCAGGGACAGAAGGCAGTGACCTGTGAGCATGTTACCTCAGGAGCTGAGGTGTGAGATGGTAGGCCTGACATGTGGCAGGGAGATGGAGGAGAGAAGGGAAACTGACTTGGACAGGAAACACGAAATTGCATGAAGAGTATGGGCATGTGGAATTTGGATCCTCGTCCTCCCCAGTTCACCCCACTTTCCTACCTGTATGTTCTTCTGCAGACTTCTTACCTCTGTGAACCTCAGTCTCTTCCTCTGTAAAATTGGAACTGTCACTTATTAGGGCTTTCCAGAGGAATAAATTCAGGTGCACACCTCTGCTGCACTGCCTGGTCCTGGTCAATGCCCAGTAGCTCTCACCTTCATCTCATTCCAGAGGCCAGTTTAAGGCTGAGTCTCTAGCAATCACTGATTTACTGACTATGAGAGATAGAAAAATTGAAGATGACTTTGAGGTTTTGACCTCAGATATAAGTGGTACTATTAAGTAAACTAGGACATATTGGGAAAGGGGCAGAATTTTGGGAAAAGAAATGTTCAGTTGGGGTTTGTCAAACTTGAGATGTCTGTGAGAAATCCAAGTCCTGGCTTTTAAAACATACAGATGACCCTTGAACAATGTGGGGGATAGGGGTGCTGACCCCCCACATAGTCAAATCCATGTAAAACTTTTGACTCCCCCAAACTTAACTATTAATAGCCTATTGTTGACCAGAAGCCTTACTGATAACATCAACAGTCGATTAACACGTAGCTTCTGAGTTATATGTATTATATACTGTATTCTTATAATAAAGTAAGCTAGAAAAAAGAAAATATTAAGAAAACCATAAGGAAAATACATTTACAGTATTTCGATACTGTAGCGTATCGAAAAAAATCCACGTACAAGTGGACTCATGCAGTTCAAGCCTGTGTTGTTCAAGGGTCAACTGTATGTGTTTGGAGGTTAATTCTCTAGAAGTATAGTCCTACAGTTCACTGGCATATAAATAGAAATTGATGTAGAAAATGAGTAATTTTGCTTTTGAGAAAACTTATAGACCAAGGAGAGAGCTGAGCATGGAATCTTTCAAAAACCAATAGTGGAAAGCATTGTGGAGGAAGAGGAGAAAGGAGCGATTGGAGGAGGCTGTTTGGGTGTTCTAGATCCACGTTTCTCAATGCGAAGGCCCCAGGTCACCTCTATGAGGGTCTGTTTCTCTGTTGGGCACTGAAGCCCCAGTGCATGGGATCCATAAGCTTTCCCTGGTCCTATGGAAATAGATGTGAGCTGGAAAAAGATGAACATTCTGAGAGTACAGAATTATAAAAAGCCTTTCAAATAATTAAAAGCCAGAAATTATTTAATACGGGACGAGGGTATGTTTAAATATGTTTGAAATGGTTTAGAGGTGGGGCCTCCAAAAGTAAGAGTGCCAGTGGCCTGAAGCCATCAAGATAGTACCAAACTTGAATCAGACCCGCCTGGGACACTAATCAAACCTGGAGACTCCTGGCCACCCTCACCCTCCCTTCTCCCCTCCAGCAGGTGGAGCCCAAGCATCCTCTGTTTTGTTTTAAGATTTTGCTTATTTGTCAGAGAGAGAGAGAGAAAACAAGCAGGGGGAGCGGCAGGCAGAGGGAGAGGCAGGCGCCTCGCTGAGCAGGGAGCCCGATACAGGACTCGATCCCAGGACCCCGAGATCATGACCTGAGCTGAAGGCAGACACTTAACTGACTGAGCCACCCAGGTGTCCCTTCATCCTCAGTTTTTAATAAGCCCTCAAGGTGGGGAAAGTTGAAAACCTTTGGTCAGGCATTGTCTGATGCATGATGCTGAGAATGCATACTGAGGCAATCGGGAGTTTTAAAGAGCTCCTTCCCAGAGACGTCTTCCCTGCTTTGCCCCATACTCATCTCCTCTTTCTGGAATTTTAGCATCTTCATGGAGTGCTAACTTTGCACTAGTTATTATCAGTCAAACTTGTTATCTCTCTTTTTTTTTAAGATTTTATTTATTTATTTATTTATTTGAGAGCGAGTGAGAGAGAGAAAAAATATGTGCACAGAGGGAGAGGGAGAAGCAGACTCCCTGCTGAACAGAGAGCCTGACCTGGGGCTCGATCCCAGGACCCTGAGATCATGACCCAAGCCGAAGGCAGCCACTCAACCGATTGAGCCACCCAGGCACCCCCGAAAGCTTGTTATCTTTTAATTCCAAAATCTAACAAGTTTGGAAAACTGAAAACTATGTGATAATCTTGGCTCAAAACTCAGGCAATAGATGTGAGCTATTGTCATCTAGCATGACTCTTCATACATTCTGCTGCAGAAATATCACTCTGTCTGGTCATAGGGAAATTTGGGTGGAGAGTGAAGAGGCCTCCCTGACTTCTGCTTTTTGGAAACACCAAGTTGCTCTAGTATTGTGCTTCTCCAGCTGGTAGTGGTGTCCCCCTGAGAGTGTGTGCAGGGGTGGGGGAGTTACAGTGTGCGCATGTCTGATTGTTGGGAGGGTCACATTTATTTGATGATTTCAGGGGGAGAATGAAATATTAAAATACGTATGGTACAATAAAATGCAAATTTTCCATGCATTTAAAAGATAAAAGATGAGACGTAAAAAAAGTTCAGGTTAGGTGGGCAGAAATTTCTTCATTCTCCTCAGCGGGGAGTGCTCAAGTGCTGCTCTCATTCAGAGCTCTGCCGGTTGGCCTTGTGTTTCTGACCGGCTGGGCTTGTGAAGTTCTCCAGGACCACACAGGAGGGCAGAAATTTCTGAGACTGTGATTATGTTGATGAAGGAGTCGCATTCGTGTAGCAGTCAGACTGACTTGAACAAGAAAGGAAGATGCATAGAGGTAAAGGCCAGAAAGGCCTAAGAGAAAGGACTTTACTTAGAAAATCAGTTGTGTTGTCAGCCTGTGTTGTTGGCAACATAGGCGGAGTATTCAGGGTGATTTTCAATTAGGTCTTCAGGTAGCCTGTATATATCCCATCATTTTTTGTTTGTTTGTTTTGATTATGCCTTATTACAAATTATTTTTTTCTTACCATATTTTGTGCTATTTTGCTGTGTTCTGTTTTGTTTTTTAGTAGGCAACAAATAATGGCAGCAGCTCCGGGGGATCCTGGGCTCTCCAAATTGCAGTTTGCTCCCTTTAGCAGTGCTTTGGACGTTGGATTCTGGCACGAGTTGACCCAGAGAAAGCTGAATGAGTATCGGCTGGATGAAGCTCCCAAGGACATTAAGGGCTATTACTACAATGGTAGGTGACAGTAAACTCCATATTCCGTCATCTTCTGTTATGTTCTCTGCCCTCCAGTACAGGGTCAGCTTTCCTTTAAAAGGGACACCCTTGTCTTTTTAATTAATGCTCTTCACTGGTTTCTATTTTACTTCCTGACTGTCTGTCTTTAATTAATGAATTAATTTTTATTTGGGTGTAGTTTACACAGAGTGCTACGTTAGTTTTAGATTTACAACATAGTGATTTGACAAGTTTATATGTTATGCTTTGCTCACCACAGGCGTAGCTGCCATCTGTCACCGTACAGTTCTATTACAGTAACATTGATTATATTCCCTATGCTGTACCTTCTATCCCCATTTTACTTCCTGGCTTTTGACACAAATTCATTTGCACTTCTTTTTCTCTGTTGTGGGGAAAAGAAAGGGAGTGGTGAGACTCCATTTGTTAATCCAAAGAATTAATACTGATTACTTAGAATTGCTGAGGGAGGAGATTGGAAACTTTTTTTCCAATGAATCTTTTTTTATAGTCTTGACAAATTCCTCCAATTCAGAAAAGCTCTGGCATCTTCTGCTAAGTCCCTGTTGAATATGGATGACCAGGAATTGGACAGGGCACTTAGGGCTCAAGAAAGAGAACACAATTATTCACAAACATTTTAGTTATGAATGCTGCTATTACTGACTCATAACGGAAAATGTGATAATGCTTCTGTCCAGGTGATTCTGCTGGGCTGCCAGCTCGCTTAACGTTGGAGTTCAGTGCTTTTGACATGTGAGTATTTTTTTTTTTTTTTTTTTTGCTTAAAATCTAAAGTGTTTCCTTTTTGTGAGGAATGAGCATTCTTACCTTTACACATAGATGGGCCCCAGGGGGAGCTGGCCGAGCCCCCGGAAGCAGGGCCAGCTCTTCAATTCTCTTGTAGCCCCCATTGCACAGAGACAAACGCTCGATGCTTAGGACTATTGGATATTTTTTTTTCAGCAGATAATTATCAGAGCCTATTAGGTGCCAAGTATCATCTAGATTGATTAAAACATAGATAATATCCCTCCTGCTTTTGATTTTATTTAATATTTTGTGATTCCTTATTGGTACTTCTTGACTTACTCTTGACTTACTCCTTTAGTTGCTTATCCATGGACGTCAGTGAACATTTATCAGGTAGCTTTTGCTGAATTGCCCTCCCCAAAGGGGCCTCCCAATTTTTAGGATGACTGGGGCACAAGGACAGAGAAGTGTTACAGAAACCAAGGATGGGTGCTTTCAGGAAGGAAAGAATTGATCAATGTCAGAAGCAGAAAGGTCAGCGTTCAGTGCAAGGGCCATTGGATTTGTTGATCAGGCTGTTTGCAGTCCCAAACTGAAATCCACACAAAAGGGTGGAGTTGAAACCATATTGAGGGGCTGTAAGACAATTAATGGTTGAAGAATTGAAGGCTTCAGTGTGGTCAGTGTTTCCTGCTTTCTCCACATTAGCAGTGTTAACATGTGGGATGATATGAGAAAGGCCAAGTGGTCTTTGTAAGGACTGCCTGGCTCTTGAAAGTCACAGTAGTCAAAAGTTAGGGTATTCCAAGTAAAGTATCCCTAGAATATATTTTTTATTTTCATTTTATTTATTTATTTTTGGCTTTTGAAATTTTTAATTCCAGTTAGTTAACATACAGTGTTGTATTAGTTTCAGATGTACAATATAGTCATTCAACCATGCCACATATCACCTGGTGCTCATCATGACAGGTGTCCTCCCTAATCCCCATCACCCATTTAACCCATCCCCTCACCCCCTTCCTCTCTGGCAACCATCCGTTTGTACTCTATAATTAAGAGTCTGTTTCTTGATTTGTCTCTCTCTCTCTCTCTCTCTCTCTCGTCCCCTTTGCTTGTTTATTTTGTGTCTTAAGTTCTTAAGATTAATTTCTTAAATGAGTGAAATCATATGGTATTTGTCTTTCTCTGAGTTATTTAACTTGGTATTATACTCTCTAGCTCCATCCATGTCATTGCAAATGGCAATATTTCATTCTTTTTTTATGGCTGAATAACATTCCATTGTATATATGTATATCCCATCTTTTTTATCCATTCATCAATCGGTGGACACTTGGGCTGCTTCCATAATTTGGCTATTGTAAATAATCCTGCTGTAAACACAGGGGTGCATGTATCCCTTTGAATTAGTGTTTTTGTATTCTTTGGGTAAATACCCGGTAGTGCAATTACTGGATCATACAGTAATTCTATTTTTAATTTTTCGAGGAACCTCCATACTGTTTTCCACAGGAGCTACACCAGTTGGCATTCCCACCAGCAGTGCATGAGGATTCTGTTTTTTCCACATCTTTTCTAACACCTGTTGTTTCTTGTGTTGTTGATTTTAGCCATAGAATATATTTTTAAAATCTCTCAAAAAGTCAACACATTTGATTCTTCTATCTCAAATTGCAAAATTTAACTGCATAACATAAATCCAAAATGATATTAGTCCTTTCCCCAGGTGAATCAGGGATTTGATATGCTGAAATAAATAACATGCCACACTCTGAGGGGAAAGAAAGGCTTAGGAAAAATAAAACGTGGTCCTATTAAAAAATATATTAGTCTTTGTATCTTTAAAGGGTATGTGTTGATGTTTCTTGTTCTTTTCAGACCTTTCTTTCTTTTTTTTTAAAGATTTTATTTTATTTATTTGAGAGAGAGAGAGAGAGTGAAAGAGAGAGCACAAGAGGGGGTAGGGTCAGAGGGAGAAGCAGACTCCCCACCGAGCAGGGAGCCTGATGCGGGACTTGATCCCGGGACTCCGGGATCATGACCCGAGCCGAAGGCAGCCGCCCAACGAACTGAGCCACCCAGGCGCCTTTTCAGACCTTTCTTGATCTGTAATAAATTCCTTGTGATTGCTTGTCAAAACAAATCAAATCCTGGTAATCTCTCTCTTGTTTTGATAGAGATTAACTTACCTTTGAAGCAATTACAAGATAATAAGGAAAATGATCGACAGTGTATAAGCATTAAATTATCTGAAGAAGTTCAAGGGGGCATATGAGCAGTGTAGTTTTAATGTGATCTCAAGAATCTGACATTAATTGCAAGTTAAACTTGCTGCCATCTTTATTCTGGTACTAGACTAAAAGGTTGTTTTTTGAAATATTTTAATAATTTTATTCTTTGGAACAATTAATTATAGGAAAAAAGCAGTTCATAGAAGTTAGGTTTTGATCTTATTACAAAGTCCAAACATCTTAAACTCAAGCAATCCAGAAATTTTAGTTGATGGAGGTAAGAACATCTGTGATTGCACAGCTCTGACTTTCACAGGAATTGCTTGATTTGACTGGTCATATCTTTTCATCATACTGTTGAATAACCACGGTGTGCGAGGGTGTGTGGTGGGCAGTTGGGGAGATGAGCAGGAATGAGGCGCGGCCCTAGTGGCGGAGCTGGAGCTGGTCGACCTGGTATCTATGGCGGGTTAACTCTGTGACCTAGAATAAGTGCTTTTAATTTCCTCACATTCAGTTTCCTCATCTCTGGCACTTGGCTTCTGACGTTCCTTCCAGTTTTACAAGTCTGTGATTTTCTGAATCTGTCTTTGGATGATTGGTGCTTTGGTCCGAGTGTTTGTGTCCCTGCCAAAATTCATACGTTGAAAACCTAATGCCTATGGTGATGGTATCGGGAGGTGGGGCCTTTGGGAGGGGGTTAGGTCATGAGGCAGAGGTCTCATGAATGGGATCAGTGCCTTATAATAGGCCCCCAGAGAGCTAACATGCCCCTTCCACCACTTGGGGACGTGGCTCGAAGTGGACAGTCTGTGACTGGAAGAGGGCCTTCACCAGAACTTGACCATGCTGGCATCTTGATCTTGGGTTTCCAGCCTTTAGACCTATGAGAAATAAATTTCTGTTATTCATCAGCTACCCGGTCTGTGATATTTTCTTATAGCAGCCCAAACAGACTAAGACAGCTAGGGAGTTTAATGGAAGTGCTTGGAGCGCCACAGAAGAAAGGAGTTCTTCATATCCAAATTATTTTCATTATTATTCTTTCTTTGTTTTTATTGCTGTACATCTGCATGGGTTTGTAGGGAAAATCTTTATAAATTTATTCATCAGATGCTGAATGCCTCTTACGTGCAGGATGCGTAGGTGGTAGGAATACAAAGACTTAGGAAACACGGAGCTCTGGATAGAGATAGGAGATACATATTTGCATTATAGTGTGCTCTGTGTTGTAATAAATGTGAAAAGGTAATGGTTATTTCAGAAATACTTATTGTTTGCTTCCTCTGTGTCTTGACAATAGAATGTGGTAAGCACTGGGCATGGAGAGAGGAATAAGGTACAGCTGAAGAGCTAACAGTCCTAGTACTCATTTATAGATGCCAAGAGTATCTCAGCTTTGCATAGCACCAGATAAATCCCTTATCCTCTGAGTCCCCAGAAGCTTAATGGGTCTCTGCCAGCAGTTAGCACCGTGAGATCCTGTTCTCCACATTGTATTAGCTGAATTAGCAGTCAAGTAGTATTTCATCAGGCATCAACCATTTTGCACTGGAGAGAGCTGCTTAGGGTAGGGTATACTGCTAAACCAGACCCCAAAAGGTTTATTTCTTGCCCATTTAATAGTCCGGGACTGGGGTTCAGTCTTCTTCCCTCTGTGGCTCCCATCATTCTGGAGGGCTTGTCTTTGTGTGCTGCTTAAAACGGAATTGTCGGGGGCACTTGGCTGACAGTTGGTGGAGGATGTGACTCTTGGACTGAGGGGTGTGAGTTCCAGCCCCACGTTGGGCATGGAGCCTACTTAAAAAAAAAAGTATCTTAAATTCCACATATGAGTGAAATTGTATGGTATTTAAACAAAACAGATGAACATAGGGGAAGGGAAGGAAAAATAAAATAACAGGGAGACAAACCACAAGAAACTCTTAACTAGAGGAAACAAACTGAGGGTTGCTGAAGGGGAGGTGGGTGGGGGGATGGGGAAACTGGGTGATGGGCATTAAGGAGGGTACTTGTGATGAGCACTGGGTGTTATATGCAAGTGAGAAATCACTAACTTCTACTCCTGAAACTAATACTATACTATATGTTAACTAACTTGTTTTAAATAAAATCTTGAAAGAAAGAGAAAAAAAAAGCTTAAAAGAAACCCAACAACCTGAATTGTTACTTTACCTTGCCAGGCAGGTAACAAAGTGACATGTGTCACTTTGCTCAAGTTCCACTGGGGAGAGCATGAGTCCTCACCTGTGTTGCAAGGAAAACTGGGAAGCGTGGGGCCCCACTACAAGCAGCATATATGTACTCTATTTCCGCTTAAGAAGGAAAGAGTAGATTTTGGTGGACAAGCTCTGCAGAATTGTGAAACTGACTCATTAAAGCATAAGTTTTCCTTTCTCTGGGCTTCTTTCCCTTGAGGAACATTTATCTTTGCAGTCAGAAGAAATATTTTCTTTTCTAAGCCTCAAGTTGGACTTAATTAGAGAAATAGAAGCCATAACCCTTGCCCTCAAAAAAACTTCAAAAAATAGTTAAGGAAATGAGACTCGTATGCAAAATCATCAGCACAGAACACAGGCTCTCTTAATCTCTGCTATCTCGTTAGCCCCTAACACAGATCTGACATGGACTAGTTGCTCGAATAGCTGTTGAAATCAATTACAAGCAGTCTAAATGCATGGCTGTCAAAATGGGATGTGGTGTGATTGGTAGAAGGACAGCCGTGGAGTCTGTTAGAGATGTTGCAAAACAGACACTCACAGATAATTACAGAAAGCAGGAGATAATGGTGCATGCCCCCAGAATGAGCATGACTTCTAGGTTCCCAGAGTTCCTTGTGGGCATGCAGAGCTGTGCACATGGAGCAGATTCCTCAAAATAATGAAAAGCCACCTCTCTCTTTCTTCTGGGGGATTTATTCTGTCCTGCCCACCACCCTGCCTGTCTGTTCTGGAGGCTCTGGCCACATGCCTGCCTTTGGCCAGGTGTGAATAACAGGTGCAAACCAGCTTCAGTACTTTCCTTACTCTGTACTGGGAGTGAAGTGCAGGCCAAGTTTCTAGAGGCAGCATTCCCAAGCAGGTCCGGGCTTGAGGCCTTTCTAAGATCAGTCCTTTACCTGGTTAGTCTATACATCATTGCGAGTTCACTGTTGGCTTTAGTATATGGGGAAGATTTCTAATTCTGATCTTTTAACAGTGTTATTGAGATATAATTTACATGTCATAAAATTTGCCCTTTTAAAATGTATAATGCAGCAGTTTTTAGTGTATTCACAAGGTTGTGCAGCTGCCACCACCAATTCTAGAACGTTTTCATCATTCCAGAAAGTAAGCCTATACCCATAAGCAGTTACTCTACATTCTTCCCTTCTCCCACTCCCCAGACCGGGTAACCATGATCTACTTTCTGTCTATGGATTTGCCTATCCTGGGCATTTCATATCAACAGAATTGTAGGAAACTAAACTAATATTCTCTTGTTTCCAAGTCCAGGGCTCTTTCTACTCTTCATCTGAGCCATCTATCTGTGGACCAAGTGAACTTGAACCTAGAGAGGTTGGCAGAATGGCTTTCCCTCCCACTATCACTTTTTAAATTCGTTTCCTTGGCTACCTCCCCTGGTGGGACTTTACTCATGAAAAATTCTTCCCTTTGAAACTTCAGCTTGTTCTCACTGATTAACTTGCATGGGCACTAATGTTCTAGGAGCCTGGCCAGCACGCTGGCAGATACTTGACTTCTCATGATGACACTTTGACACTGCATTCACACACCTGGGACACTCAGGCACTTAGGAAAAAGGGTCCCTTCTTCTTGTGCATGTATCAGAATTAGATCAGAGCTTTGTTCCTTCTATTTCAGCAGTAATTTCTAAAGCCAAGTCTGAATGTAGGAGGCCTAGTGTACCAACCACTGTGCTCCTTCTTCCTCCCTCTAGGCTGCGTCTTGCCCCTTTGTGATTTCTCTTTCTCTTCAAGACTGTCTTTGATGTCCTCCTTCCACATGGATGAAAAATATTTTATTGGAGTAGAGTTGTGAGAAACAGCCTATGATTTGCTGACTTGTCAGCCCCCAAGGGAAGGCTCTGGCCGTTGCAAGTTACTTTTTTCCCAGGACTTGGCATTTAAGCCCCACAGACAACATTTGGCATAGCTGCCTTCACCACCCATTGCACCCCTCCACACCTGGTCTAGGTTTTGATCTTCTCTCTTCACAGCCCCTGTGAACCCAGTTTTACAGACTCCAAGAGACATGAGGTCTTTGTACAATCAATAAAAATGCATTTTCTCTGCAGTAGTGGTAATTGACAACAATATTAGGCTACTAATGAAATGAGTATTTTCATTTAGCATCTGTAACCTCTGAAACATAAGTTAATCATTTCGGAGAAGAGACCAGATGTTTCCACATCTGAATTTGTATTCAGAATTAACTCATCTTCTTCTCCCCTGATTTTGATTACTCTGAAGACTGTAAGGGGATAGTGTAGAGTGTGATACACATGTGACATGACAGATTGGCAGGTAGCCCAGATATGACACATACTGTCTTTGTGACTCAGACGACCACCAGGAGTTGGCTCAGCAGCAGCTTTGTGGAGCCCGTTTGGGCTGGATAAGGTCTGGAGACAGTCAGAAGAGGGAGACATGTGCCCTGCCCTCAGGGAGCTTACTGTCCTCTAGTCGGGTATCTGTGATGGTCAATCTTGAACACTCTAAAATGTGATGCTCAGTTTCCTGTGCCAGCCATTACCAGAGAAAATGGGAGGGGCTTCCTGGAAGGAGAGGGTTTGGAGTAGGACCTTGAAGCCTGGGAGGGTTTGAGTGGGGAGTAGGCAGCTCAGTACCTTGGAGCCTGCTAGTTCTGGCTTTAGATTCCTGCTCCACCTATCTTTTTGTGACCTTAGGTGAGTTACTTAAGCCTTTAACCAGGAGAAAGTGCTGTTATGAAAATGCAAAACTTGTGTAGTTCTTGGCACAGTAGAAGTTCAATAAATGATGTTTCCCTTTCAGGTTAAAGATGAGAAAGAGTAAAAACTAGGTAATGAACTTATATTCGGGGGTGGTGTGGGGCTTGGTGAGCAGTGGAAGAACAATGAGAAATGAGGGTAAAGGGAATATAGAGGCTTTTTTTGTGTGTACAGTGCTGGGTTTTATTTTATTTTTTTTAGTTCTTTGCCCTACAGAGCCCTGTCTTTTGTCTCCCACTGCTCTCCCGTCTGTGCCTGCCTAACCATGTTTCTTCCATATCCAGGAGTGCTCCCACCCCAGCCCACTGCTGCCCGGCTGTTGGAACGCTCTTTAACACCAACACACTTGAGGCTTTCAAGGCTGCAGATAAGAAGCTACTTTTGGAGCAAGCAGCAGATGAGGTTAGCTGGGAAACGATGATGTATCTGTCCTATCTTCCCTGGTCTTGGTAGGCCTGATGTTTCTGATCAGGTGCGTGGGTCTCTCGGGGAAACTAGCATAGAGTCGGTACTTAAAGATCTTTGTGGGCTTTGGTTTATATCCCAGAGAGAGTACTTGCAGCTCTCCTGCATTGGCGGGAAGGTCAGGGAGAAGACATTCAGGCTCTCAGCTGGGGATGGGCTGGAAAGCCATGGCAGGGCAGTTGTGAAAAGCTTTGCTGCTGCTCTCCAGTTAGAATTTGGAAGCAGCTTGACCTGTCCCTGAGAGTTCTATTCATGTGTCTGCATGCCTTTGGGTTCTCTGTTCTTTGTGCCCCATGGCTTTCCAGTCCTAAGCACCGTAATGCTATCAGAGATGATTGCACTGTCTCTCCCGTATCTTTAGGGCTAAATCTAAACTACTCCATCTTGTGGCCTGGCCTCTGTGGCCTCTGTGGCCTTTCTCTCCTGTCACTCTTGCCCTCACCTTCTCTGACCCTTGTCACAGCAAATCACTTATAATTCCTTCCCCTACTTTTGTTCTCACCTCTGTCCTTGGGACATGATATTCTTTGTGCCGGGAGTGTCTTCCTCTTACTTCTTCATATCTGAGTTAGTGTGAGGAATTAAAATAGGAAGACAGTTTATCCCTATCCCCTCTAACCCACTTAATCGAGTGGTCTTCACACTAGTATTAAAAAAAGAAAAAATGGGTGTGGGTGCCACGGTCGGAGAGGGAAATCTGCCTTTGGTCTTTTTTTTTTTTTTTTAATGGTGACTCTATTTTATTTTTTATTTTTTATTATGTTATGTTAGTCACCATACAATACATCATTAGTTTTTGATGTGGTGATCCACGATCCATTGTTTTCATATAATACCCAGTGCTCCATGCAGTACGTGCCCTCCTTAATACCTATCACCAGGCTAACCCATCCCTTAACATCCCTCGAGATGGATGTAGCTTGTGACCCAAGTGATGATGGTGGTTTTCCTTGGCCTACAGCTTGACTGCTCCTGGGCTCCTGCTCTGGCTGCACATTTCAAAGGCTGTCTCCAAGGAGTTGGGTTAGATTCTCATCCATCATCAAAAATCACAGATTGTTCCCCACAGAAATCCCACCCCTTGTCCTGGGGCTCAGCCTTCACCCCCATCCACACTCCCCAGCAGTTCCCAACTCCTTAGTTTATCAGACCTGGGGCCTGCTCTTCCTTGGTCCAGCCTCCTCTAAGGTTATTATGTCAATTGCAGGAACTTCTCTTTGTTTATTTTCCTCTTCCACCCAGTGGCTCCTTTGGTGCAACTGTTTGTCTTGCTTAGTGACACAAAGTTTAGCAGCTAATCTTAACTACTAAAACATCTTGTGATCAGCAGCTACAGACCAGTAGCAGCTTCTGCTTCTGGTCACAGTACTTGCTGAGTATGCATAAACTCATCATTCTCTTCATGTCTCAGGGCAAGATAATCCCCAGTAACACTTTGAGAAATCCCCTATACCTGGTTCAAATCACTGCCTCCTAGAACCCCTCCCCAGCCCAGTTCAGTGCTCCTCCCAGGAATTCCACATCTTTTTGAGGTAGCATGTCCTACCTGGTGGTGCACTCGGACATTTATGCCTCTCTCCCTCACTGAACTCAAGGCTTTTTGAGGGTAGGGACTGTGTCTTTTTTTTTCTTTTTTTAAGATTTTATTTATTTATTTGAGGGAGAGAGAGAGAAAGAGCACGAGAGGGGGGAGGGTCAGAGGAGAAACAGACTCCCCACTGAGCGGGGAGCCCAATGCAGGACTCCATTCTGGGACTCCAGGATCATGACCTGAGCCAAAGGCAGTCTCTTAATCAACTGACCCATCCAGGCACCCGGGACTGTGTCTTTTATTCTATAATCCTGATGTGCCTGGTAGATAGTAGGCAATCAGTAAATATTTATTGGAGGAAATAGTGAAGACATGAAAATGGCCTGCTTGCCTCCTTGGATGCTGAGTCTGACTGAGAGGAGACTTCTGGGTTCTCGCAATTTCCTCAGCCCCCACAGGGAGTGTGGCTGGTGGAGAGGCCATCCAAAGTGGCCAGAGTGAGGTAACAACCCACTTTACAGCCTGGGGTAAGTGGTGCTGGGCCTGGAGGAAAGAAGAGCTTGGAGCTTTTTGCCTCTGTGCTTCATTTGTGAGAAGCTCAGAGATGCCTGTGAACCTGCCTTGACACTTCTCTTTCTTCTGACAGATATGGGAAGCCATAAAATCAGGTGCTGCTCTCGAAAACCCTGTCCTCCTCAACAAGTTCCTCCTCTTGACCTTTGCAGTAAGTAAATGGACTCTCGGTCACATTTAGACTGCTGAAATGCCCTGGCCGAGTCCAGGGTGCCAATAGAATGGTCTGCACTCTTCTCACTGAAGCTACTACCTGGTGTTATTGAAGTCAGAGCTGTTCAAGAAACACTCATTTGATAAGTGGCTCAGTAGTTCTGGCACTTATCACCAGTGCAAAATTAATTCATTCTTACCATACTGTTGGTAGTTGCATGGTTTATGTAACACAGTGGCCCATGTCCTGTCATTCAGGACACAATAGAGTCAGCTTCAGGGAGTAGTGGTTCTTTGTCGCTAATGTCTTTGTTCAGTACAGTCCTGCGGAGCTCAGTTGCTGGATCCATCAACATAAGGAAAAGAAGACATCTTGGGGATCCTGGCTGTCCCCCAGCAGCTTCCAAACTAGAGGAGTTCACACTACATAGTTTGTCCACACAGCTGTGTTTTTTTAAGAATGAAAAATGTTTTGTGTAAGTGTAACATCTGCTGCCTAGGGAAGTAGGGGGAAGGACCTGGTCTCTGTGATGGGCAGTGTGGGGTTGTTTATAGAGATACCAGCCATATACATACACATACATGTATGTACATGTGTGTATGTCTGTATTTGTGTATATATATATATATATCTATATATAAAATTAATTTAGCCTTTATAATTAAGTTGACTATGTAATATTCTATCAAGTGTATGTTCTATAGACTTTTGTACATCTAGGTTGTTTCTGATATTCACTACTTTAAAAAATGTTGCAGTGAACAATATTGACCGTACTGATTTTTTTTTTCTCTTCATTTTTTTAGGATAAATTCTTTGGAGAAGGCATATAAACATATTGATGTTTACATATATTGAGTGTGTTGTTTTACCAGTTTCATCAGCTTTGGATATTAATCCTCTTCCCTACATCTGTCTTTTTCCTCCCTCCCTCCCTCCTTCCCTCCCTCCCTCCCTCCCTTCCTTTCTTTTGCCCAGTTTTAGGTCTTGCCTTTCTTCTTCCTTCATGAACTAATCCTCTGTTTCTTCTGAATGCTGCCTGTCTAATTTGCTGCCCAAGGCAAAGGAGAGAATGATAAAAATCATACTGAAGGCCACGCCAAAGGGTGGCTATCTATAAGGAGCACCTATAACTAACAAGTTATAATGCTTTCTGTGTAATAGTGGGAGAGATAGAAAAATGTTTAAATTCTTCTTGAGATTACTGGCTGCAATTTGGCATTAATTGCCTGTAAATTTGAACAATTTTGCAGATCTGCTACTAAGAGAAACATAAACAGTGCTAGTTAAAGATTTCTGGGTTTGTTACTTTAACATCAATATGTTTTCTGTACCAAGAATTCTAGTTAGTAGAATCTGACAGTTTGCATTTAATGAGAAAAATAACATTAGCTCTTACTTAAAGTTTTAAGGCATTTCCTAGAGTTAGTATGTGTGTTCACCCTGCTGCCCTTTTTACTGATCATTCTTAGCCTACCTTTAAAAAAAATTAAAAGTCTCTATCTTTTAAAATCTTCAAACACAAAGGGCTTTATATTTAATTTAATCGAGGTCCTTTGTATCCTGGAAAGAATTCTAAGAAATTCAAGCCTTTTTACTTTTGAAGATGATCTGATAAAGCTTCTTAGAAATTGTGAGGTCCTTCATTTTGAATTGTTTAACCTTTGACTAAAGATCAGTTATGACAAATCATTTAAGTATAAAGAAGAGAGAATAATCTCTGGAGGTTTTTTTTTTTTTTTTTTTAAGATTTTATTTATTTATTTGAAAGAGAGCAAGCATGAGCAGTGAGGAGGGGCAGTGGGACAAGCAGACTCTCCACTGAGTGAGGAGTCTGATGCGGGGCTCGATCCCAGGACCCTGGGATCATGACCTGAGCCGAAGTCAGACGCTCAACCAACTGAGCCACCCAGGTGCCCCTCTGGAGGTGTTTTTACTTTCCTTTCTGCTGTTTTTAGGACTCAAAGGAACTGGCACTTTAATTTCGATTTTATAGTTTGTTTTGCTGCCATCAAAAGAGAATTTGTTCTTAGTTGATCAGTTAATGCCAGAATTAGAGACTGGAAACTATAATTACTAGAATTCCTCATCCAGACACACATTTATATATACATCTATATTTAAAAAGTTATCTAGTAAAATGTCATTTATATGAAAACCCCAGAACAGGCAAATCTATAGAGACAGAAAATAGATGAGTGGTTTCAGGGTTGGGGAGAAGGGAGAATGGGAAGTTCTGTGGATGGGTGTTTCTAACTAATAAACTGATGGGGGGGTTTCTGCTATTAGAGTTTTTCTTTTGGAGGCAATGAAAATGTTCTGCCATTGGGTGATGGTAGTACAACCTTGTCAATATACCAGAAAACCACTCAGTTTTACACTTTAACATGGTAACTTTTATGGTATGTGAATTATATCATAATAAGTCATCAAACAACTATCTGTTCTTTATTCTTAGCAAGATTCAAGAAGAAATATTGATTAGCCAAATAAATAAACTGATGGAGAAGCTGTCAAACACCCATATAACTATGAGATCCCACCATAGGAGTGACTTAGGCCACAAAGGCTGCAGGAATTCAGAGGCAAGAGCATCCAACCTGAGTGGGAACAGTTTTCAAGAATAGCTTCATGAGTCATTACCCCTGCCTCGCTTCCCCTGGTGGAAGATACACCCCTGAGGATATAATCTCATGTCACTGTTGTTCTCAGAACCTCTTCTGTGACCCATGGCATTAGTCATGGTCTCACTTTATCTCTGCCTGTACAGAGAGTGAGCTGCCTTAGGGCTGGACTGGCTTTTATTTATCTTTTTTTTTTTTTTTTTTAAGATTTTATTTATTTATTTGACAGAGACAGAGATAGCGAGAGCAGGAACACAAGCAGGGGGAATGGGAGAGGGAGAAGCAGGCTTCTTGCCGAGCAGGGAGCCCGATGTGGGACTCGATCCCAGGACCCTGGGATCATGACCTGAGCTGAAGGCAGACGCTTAACGACTGAGCCACCCAGGCGCCCTTTATTTATCTTCTTATTGTCAGAGTGTCTAATGTATTGCTTTGTACATGGCAAATGTTTAGTAGTTGTTTACCCAGATTTCACCAACAAGGCATTTCTGAAAGCAGTGCTTTATTATCCCAGGCATACAGAGGTTATGGATAGCACAGCCTCTTCAATAACATGCTCCATTCATTTGACTATGAAGAGTGGTAACCATGTCTGGTGGTTGGGCCTCCCCAGATAGATCATTGAGTGTGTATGGTACTAAGGACAGAGCTTAAATTCTGGAAAAAGAATTCTGCCCCACTCCCCACTACTCAGTATCTTTGTTTTGTTCAAGTTCTTCACCTCCCTCTAAGCTTCAGTTTTCTGTCCATAAAATGGGATAATAGTTATGTCCTGAGGTGGTTTTGTGTATTTAACAGTGATGACGATAATTACCAATTAACACTTTTCTGTTAGCAAGTGGTTAATATGTTTATCATGAGATATTATTGTGTGGTGTATGGGAATATTTTAAGAGAAGGACAGAAATTCTGTATTCTATTATGAGTTCTGGTGGAGATGAGACTTTCTGACCAGCTGATCGTATCTTGTGTGCATTGGTGTGTCTGCCTACATGGCGATGGGGAATTACATTAATGGATGTGTTTCAGTTTAATCATTGGTGGTACTCTGATATCTTCTGTTATATTCTTTCTTCTAGGATCTAAAGAAGTACCACTTCTACTACTGGTTTTGCTTCCCTGCTCTCTGCCTTCCAGATAGTATACCCCTCATTCAAGGGCCAGTGGGCTTGGATCAAAGGTTTTCACCAAAACAGGTATCAACAAGTAAAATAAAATGCAGACAAAATTGGGTTTAACGCATTTGAGTACTTTAATTCATTCTAAAGACAGATAGGCACTTGTCTGAAAGGAGAGATGGTCACCATGGAATCCTGCAAAGATGGTACTAGGAGCATACTTATTTACAAACTGTTTGTAAAAATCATTTTGAAGTAGTGAGTGATACTTTTTCAAGTTTTCAGTGACATTTGGTGAAAGGCTCAGCTGGTAGGGAGAAGTTATACGAACATGTTGAAAGTCTGCAAGAATTTGCCAAAATGTGGTTTTCACTTTCACTATAGAGAACCCTAAGGCAGTATACTTTGAGAAGAGTCTTTAAAAACAAATAGAAGACATTCTACTACCCTCACACCAAGTTGTAGAACTTCTACGTCAGGAATGGTACATGCAGAGCTAGTCTTTTTTTTTTTTTTTTTAAAGATTTTATTCATTTATTTGACAAAGAGAGACACAGCGAGAGAGGGAACACAAGCAGAGGGAGTGGGAGAGGGAGAAGCAGGCTTGGCTCAATCCCAGGACCCTAGGATCATGACCTGAGCAGAAGGCAGACGCTTAACAACTGAGCCACCCAGGCGCCCCCAGAGCTAGTCTTTGTGGTCTAAGAAAGACAATAAGGTCATCCGAGATGGTCCTGAGGAGAGCAAATGAAAATAATCAGGCTAGTAGAACATAGACCCTAAACCAAAGAATTCTGATTGTCATTGAAGCGAGGATTGAGTGGCAAGATGATTTGAAATCATGAAGCACTAGGAAGGAGCCCTTATTGATGAAAAAATAGTAATAAGTTTGTTTAGGTCAAATCGAAGGTTGTAGTTTTGTGGAACTAATTTCCCAAGAAGAGATATAAGTGGAGGAAAAGGATTATGCCATGGGACTGACTACTGATGGATACAGGGTTTCTTTTAGGAGTGACATAAATATTCTAAAATAATTGCACTGATAGTTGCATAATCCTGTGAACATGCTAAAAACAGCACTGAATTATGCACTTTACATGGGTGAGTTTTATAGTAAGTGAGGTATGTCTCAATAATGCTGCTATTTTATGGAAAGGTTCAGGGTAAAATTCATCAGTGGTGGATTCAGTGCTTGGTTATTACAGGAGAGAAATAATGTTTGGAGCTCTCTCTACACCTTTGTGATTAACATCGTAGGGAGCCACCATCCTGCACAATAAAGTGTCTCCTCATACCCCTAAGACACATCACCATGCACGTAGAAAGTGTTATATAGAAGTGAATATTATACTTCTATGTTCATTTGCTACAAAAGAATAACACGGTTATGCTCAGTCATTTCTAGTCTTCTGGCTTTAAAGTACCTTTTATGTTAATTTTTAGCTCAGAACTAGATATGTAATTGTCTGGAGAATAACTCAATGTTTACTGTTCTTAGATTCAAGCCCTTGGGTGTGCATATGATGCTCTTTGTCAAACAGAAGGAGTCCCAGCTCTACCTTACTTCTTAATCAAGTATGATGAGAACATGGTGCTGGTTTCCCTGCTTAAACACTACAGTGATTTCTTCCAAGACCAAAGGACAAAGGTCAGAGAAACTCTGAGTTTTGTTTTATTATCCCTTAAAAAAAATCTGATGTTCATGTCTTAATAGACCACTGCAAAATTCAAACTCACTTAGATTTCTTTAGCCCTCCACGGAATGTTGTGGAACATTCTTTATCTTCATGCCCACCCCTGCTGTTCCCAGATCAGCTTCTCCAGATTTTCTTAGCTCTGTTACACCTCAGAGTAATTTTGGGTTCCTCCCTTCCTATTCGTGATAAAATTATTTCAGTTTTCCTTCCTGATATATTTTGTATCTATATTTTAACTTATTTCCAGAGTTACCACCATAGGTCAGGCCCTGATTACCTCTCTCCCGGACAGTTAGAGTCTTCTTGCTTCTCTTCTATCCTGTGTACCACCACTTGCCTCAAACTGCTCACATTCACCCTGTCCTTCAGTGATCCAGTTAATGGTGTCTTCCTTCTAGCTCCAGGCCACCTCCCCTGCCTCATCTTCCACTATTTTCCTCATAAACCATTGCTCAGCTGAGTTTGCCTGTTTTTTTCAGAGAACCCCCCCTTACCCCCACCCTCACTAATCAAGTCTACCTAGGGATTTTCCTTTTTTTTTTTTTATTTAAAGACTTTATTTTGACAGAGAGAGAGAGACAGCGAGAGAGGGAACACAAGCAGGGGGAGTGGGAGAGGGAGAAGCAGGCTTCCCCACTGAGCAGAGAGCCCGACATGGGGCTCGATCCCAGGACCCTGTGATCATGACCTGAGCTGAAAGCAGACGCTTAATGACTGAGCCACCCGGGCACCCCTACCTAGGGATTTTTCTATATCTCTCTTTGACCTTGCACTGTATCATCTGAAACATGTTCTATGTGTGAAAATCCTAAGAAACTCTTCTTGTTGGAATCCTAGCTCTACAGTGAAGCCTTCTCACAGGGTGGCCTGGCCGTGTGTGATCTTTCCTTTTCTGATCTCACTGCACTTACTTTCTGATCCTCATTTACTGTTCTGTTCCCTTGTCCAAATTACTTTATGTTCCATACTAGATGGTAAGCTCCTAAAGGGCAGAGCCTGTGTCTTAATATATCTGCATCTACACAGTGTCTAGAACTGGTCTTAGGTCCTCAATAAAATTCTTCTGAACAAATGAAAAAGTACTGTAAGTGTCTTTCAGAAGTGTATATAGTGAGCTATCTCAGCCATATAAGAGATTGTAAATTAAAAATAAACAATTGATGAATTTTATGAAGTTATGAAGTCAAGTGGGATAATTTCATTAGCCATGTAGATATATCAGAGTTGAGAAAAGAGAGACCTCTAACAGATGCCCTGATTATTCCTTAGCCTGAGCTTAAGATACTTTTTTTTAAGTACATTTTTTTCTCAACTACATTAGCATTTTCCTTCACAAAATAATACTATATTAGGTGCTAGGCATTCTGTTTTCTATCCTCTTCTTTTTTTTTATCTTTTTGAAAAATACCAGCTGTGAGCCACTAAGTGACTGGAACTCACAAATAGCATATCACTTTAGTTTGGACAGTGCTGATTGCCCAGTTTGAGAATACTGGCCAGTAAATGAACTGCACTAAGTATGGTTCCATTTGTGATTTTTATTTCCAGCTGCATCTTTCTGTTTTTAAATTCTCCTGAAGCTATTTAACCATTATTTTAAGGTTTCAGGTTTTTTGAAGTAAACATTTTGTATATTTCCTACTAATCTTTTTCTATTTTTTAAAGACTAAGATGGTACCATATTCTCTTTTATTGTAGCATTTAGCATAATACTGTTACACTCTGTATCAACATCCTTTCTGATAGATAACATCCAATTTTTGACATTTAGTTTTCTCATACTTCTTCACTATTAGGAGCCTCCCTGTGCATTAAATTCCTGCCCTCCCCCCACTTATCTTGAATTATTTCCTAGTTTCTAGATAGAGAATTACTGACTTAAAGGGTTTGGACATTTTAAGGTCTATGATCAGTGGTGTGCTGGTAAATGTTTGACAGCTGGCTCTCATGTGGGGCAAAACCCTGATTGTGTATGTTTGCTTCTTTCCATGGTGCCAGTACTCCCACCATGGCTGAGTTGGGGCTGCCAAAGTGAAGTCACAGAGCACAGAGATGGGAAGAGATGGTAACAGTTGGCTTTCCCCAGTCTGTTCAGGTCACCTCTGGCCCACTGCTTATCATAACTGTGGCTCACAAACTCTGCTGGTTTTCCCTCCTGCCAGCCGTGCACCCTGACCAGCACTGGGATTTTACACATTTTACACATTTGCATCAGTTAAAAATGGGCCTTGTTTACGTGCTTCTTTCCCTCGGTGAGATGTTGATGCCACTTACTGGTCACGGTGGCAACTGCATTGTTAACAATTAGTTGTCTTTTAAGCTGGTGTTTGTGATTCCATCAAAAACAGCCCGTATCGCTGTTCCGTTGCCAGTCTTTAGGGAAAGCTTGCTTGAGTCTTCTGCTTTCTTTAGAGCAGTTATTGAAGATTGGATGTTTGGGAAACATTTTGTAATTTTAACAATATTAGCCTTTAATTCTAGGGTTTTAAAATCTTTGGATAAGAGCGATAGCAAAGGAACAGCAATTGGTATGCTGTTAGCGGGGCTCTTTCTTCACTTAGCAAGCTCCGCATCTTGGCAGCCGTCTGTGACATTGCAGCGCATTAGATACTTGGATTTTCTATCTTGTACTTTTAAAACATATAATCGCCTTTGCACATTTCCTGTTATACCGAGTATTTAAGTAATAGATGGCCATTTGTCAGATAAGTGTGTTTTAAGGGATCGGTGTGGAAATTTCTCCAGCTGAAGATACTCAAGTTGACAATTTTGCCCTCTTTTCTTTCTCACATTGTACTTTTTCAGCAAATAGCTGGGTGGACCATAGCCAGAGCATGACTGAGCTACTTCAACGAATAGTATGCTCTGAGCCAAGTAGAAAGGAGCGTTTATTTCGACAACCTTCTAAACAAATTTTTTTTTTCCAATTACATTTTGCTTCTTTCTACTGATTTGTATTATAAAAGAAGTGATTTGTCCAACTTCACACAATGACTGTGTGACAAAGCCAGTTGGAGAAGACAGAACTCCTAGCCCATAATGATTTCTGACTGCCACTACCACCAACAAAAAATCTATTTACCCAAATAGTTAAGCTGGCTTACCTAGCATTGTGCTGACTAATTCCCACAGTGATTGAAGTTCCTGATTTGGTTCCGAAAGCACTTAAAGATTTTGGAATCACTTTTGAATCATCAAAGAAATATAAATGATGTTCAGCCTACTGTCAAATGGATTCTATCATTTTCCTGTCTGGTTGCTTGCTTTTTGTACTCATGCATGCCTCATGTGGGTAGGAGAGTTACTTTAAGGCATCTCAAAGTCAACCTCCCTTTGTGGTTGATAGATTTCTCTTCAGCAGTTCATTCCTACTCTGTAGCTCATCTTAGGTCAGGTTGCTCTAAGAAACTTATTCCTGTTTTTTTCTGCTCAGAATAAGTTTTTTTTTTTTACTACCTTCCTATCTCATTGCCTTTGTATTTAGTGTCAGAAATGTACTCATTCTTTGAAATTAGGTACCCACTTACAGTATCGAGTTACGACATTTTTGTTTCTATAAATTCATTTAGTCCCAACTCTACACTTATAGATGATAAAACCTGAATGTAGAAAATATTTGATAAACTGGAACTTATCCCCTTTTTTTCTCTGCCAGTTAGGAAAAAGGGAACCTTGAGACGGAAGGTAGATCACTATGTAACGATAACAGATTGAACTGAACAGAAGGGTCAGTGCAGGTACAACAGAGTTTATTTACATTGCTGTTATAGTTAGCATCTGTTGAGTGCTTGCCTTGTTTCCAGTCTCTGTGTCCAGGCAGAGTTCTCCAAAGAGGGGAAACGTAAGGCATAGAGAGATTGTATGAGAGTAAATAACTCAGGGCATCTGCTAAGAGTCCAGGTTTATTGAGTCACATTTGAAAATTGAAACTGATAGTCTCAATATGAAGGGCATTTTCTGGATTGATGCTATGTAGATTCTTCCTAAATGAAAATTGAGTAGCCTTTAGATACCCAGTAAGATTGAGCCTAATAAGTCTGTGTTGTCTTATAACCTATGTAGGATTTTGTTTCTCTTTAATGTTCTATAAAGTTCTATAATTCTGGAGCTAGAAGAAATCCTTTGAGATGAAATGATACAGCCCCTCCATTTTATAGGTAAGGAGAGAATATGCCCATGGTCACTTTTCTTTACTACGTTAGCATACTTGCCTACTCACACCCCAAGGTCTGAAAATCAGTTAGCAGTAGAAGTAGAACACATGCCTGCTGACCTCTGGCTTTTTCTACCACATCGGGTCATTTTCTTCTTCGAAGCTGTTTTAAATGTTACAGAAGTAGAAGGCCAATCTCTCCCTTCTCTCCCTTTTCTTGCTGGGTAATAGAGTTGTAAATATCTTTGATAAATTTTTAAAAAGGTGAAGTCAAAGCAATGATTACTTAATAAATATAGTTTGCCAGCAGATGCCATCTGTCATGATTGATAGAAGGGAACCCAAAGCTGAAAGGTGTCCCAGGTGGTGGTGGTGGCCAACGGGACCAGAAGAACTCAAGGGAGACAACTTCTTCATTCAGAGGAAGCCCTGAGGGGAGTGCTTCATTCTTCAAGTTCTCTCGCTTCTCAGAGCAAGTCCTTTGAGATTAAACTGTCACATCCTCCCCAGGAGATTCCCAGTGTTAAAATGTCACTGAAGGGGGACCCTGTACTGTTGAGAAAGGAAAGGGGAGGAAAAGGAGCCAGCCAAGATGCTGCACCATGGCTTTATATGTGGGCTTCAGATCTCTGTTGGTCAGCCATCACTTCCCTCCCTCCAGGTCCCCCCAGGATCCCTGCCCAAAAATGGGGTGTAAGAGGCGGGGCTTTCCATACAGTGGGGCCTGGAGAAATGGCCAGTTCTGTCATTTATTCAGCACAATTTGCTGAGCATTCTGTACTATGCCAGGTACCAGGGATGGAAAGAGGAGCATGATAGACATTGCTTGAGCCCTCACAGAGAGAGGCCAGCAAAGAAACAGATATGAAATGCATCCTGTAGTTCCTCCATTCTAAAATGCATTTTGCTTCACATTTTAATTTTTCAAAGTCAGGAATTGCTTGCAGTTCTGTATATTTAATGTAGTGGTTTTCCCCCATTTTTTCTATCCGGTTTGAAAGTACATTTTATAATCTGTGGTGCCTTTGAATCAAGAAAATACCATGCTTCAACAAATAATCACAGTTACCATAGGAAAAATATAGGATGCAACAAACCCCATTTTAAGCACTTCTAGACCTGTGGTGGCTAGTGCTGAAAAGAATAGTGTACGTAAGAATCACATGAGGAGGTCACAGAGCACGTGGGTATTGGTACCTCGGGAAGTCTGGGATGGGGCACAGGTCATGCAAGTTCAAAGAGCAGCCTGGACAGTTCTGATGCAGTTTGTGTGTGGTGGACCATATTCGAGAAATCACCGCAGACTCTCAAGAGGTCTTTGTACTCGCTGTACTTTAGAATCACCTGGGGAGCTTTTACAAACTAATGCTCAAGCCACACCCCAGACTGGCGAAATCAGAACCTTAGGAGGTGAGACCCAGGCAGCAGGATTTTTGAAAGCTTCCCAAGTGATTGTCACGCACATTCAAATATGAAGACCAAGATCAGAGAGGGTTGAAGAGCAGAGCAGTGCTGCTCAAACTGCAGTGAGCATGCAGATCACCTGGGTCCTTGTTAAAACGCAGATTCGGATCCAGCAGGGCTGGAGACAGGGAGCCTGAGATTCTGCATTTCTGACAGATTCCCAGGTGATGCTCCTGGTGCATGGACCACATTTTACAGAGAATGGAAAGACATACAGCTAGTCCAGACTTCCAAGGTAATGAAAAATGGCCCCATAGACTTTTTTCTTTTGTCTATAAGATCACCTTCTCTAATGGTTCTCAGAGTAAGTGTGTGGACTGGCCCAACTGCACCAGAATCACTTAGGCACTTTATACAGATACAGATGGCTAGGCCACCACTGGAGATTTGGAGGCACGAGTAATATTAGCAGCATTACACATGTGCAGGGCTTTTCGTGTCAGTACCATATCCTGTAACCCTCACTGTATCTCTGTGAAGCAGGTACACAGAGATTCAGGTTTAAAAAGCTGAGGCCTGGGGTGCCTGGGTGGCTAAATCAGTTAAATGTCTGACTCTTAATTATGGCTCAGGTCATGATCTCAGGATCATGAGATTGAGCCCCTGTGTCAGACTCTGAGCTCAGCAGGGAGTCGGCTTGAGATTCTCTCTCCCCCTCTCCCTCTTCACCCCCCCCACCCCCTGCGCTCACTCTCTCTCAAGTCAATCTTAAAAAAAAAAATAAAAAAAAATGCCGAGGCCTAGAGGCACCTGGGTGGCTCAGTCGGTTAAGCATCCTACTCTTGATTTCAGCTCAGTTCATGATCTCAGGGTCATAGGATTGAGCCCCACGTCAGGCTCTGCGCTGGGCATGGAGCCTGCTTAAGATCCTCTCTCTCTCTCCCCCTGCCCCTATCTGCCCCCCCCCCCAAAAAAAGCTGAGGCCTAAAGGATTTGACTAATTTGCCCTAGGCCACTCATGTAGCAAGGAGCAGTACTCAGAATAGTCTCTGCAAACTCTATTTTTAAAAGCTTCTTGGATGCTGGTGTTTCATCTCCCATGGGAAAGGAAATCTCAAATAAAGATATTGTGTGTTTCCTGAAAGGATGGTTATATGTTTGAATCTGTATTGAATTAAATATGAATCTGTCTGTTTGCATCAAAGACATGAAATGCATCTAGACAAAAAGCATTGGTGTTAGGAATAAGAAAATTTCACCTAGAGAAGGTAGCAAAAAAAGAATATCCTTGGAATAATGCAATAATTATCTGATAAGACTAGAGTAAAATTCATTTTCAGAGGTTTGTATTGAGCACAGATGAAGGCTAATTAATTGTCCTTCAATAGGAAATAGAAAAAAGTTATGGCGCATCAGTACAATGGAATGCCATTCAGCCACTACTGACAGTGGTTGTAGAAAGACATTTATTTGGCATGGAAGAGAGTTCATGATAGAATAAGAGATATAAAACAGTATAGCATCTCATTTTCGATTAGTAATAAAAATTGTACTAAAATTATATAATTGTATAAAAGTTGTGATAAAAATATATTTATGCAAAGATCAAGTTATGGGAGGCTATATACCAAAGTGTTAATATTGGTTTTCTCTGGATAGTGGTCTTATAGGCCTTTTCTTCCTGCCTGCCTGCCTGCCTGCCTTTCTCCTGCCTTTCTCCTGCCTTCCTGCCTTTCTATCTTTTGTTTCCTTTCTTTCCTTTCTCTTGAGTATGGGTTAAGCTTCTGCTTTGTATCTAACATTATACTGAGCACTGTAGTAAAATAAATGGAATTGTTTGGCCTGGCCCCATTCTTATAGAACTAACTGGATCTAGAGTAACCAAAATTCTACCATGTTTTCATTTAACCCACAACTACACCTATAAAGGAAACCTGTGGGTTGATTTATGGTTCTCTCCCAGCCACCTTTCCTCCCTCCCTCCCTCTCTCCCTCCTTTCACTCACCAACCCATTCACCCTCCCTCCTTTCTTCCTTCCCTCCCATCCACCCACTCATCCATCATCCATCCATCCATCTTATCATTATTCAACATGCATTCACTAAGTGTCTGGTATGTATATATGAACTGATCATGGGGAGATGAAAAAGATAATCCCTGCTCTCTAGATGCTCATTGTCTTCTCTTTTTTTAAATAAACTTTTTATTTTGGAATAATTTTAGATTTATAGGAAAATTTAAAATACAGTGCAGAGAGGGTTCTCATACACTCTCACCCAGTTTCGGTTTTCTCTAATGTTATCCCTTACAATACCATGGTACCTGAGAAACCAGCATTGGTGGATTACTATTACCTAAACTCTAGACTTTATTCAGCTTTTCACCAGTTTTTCCCACAACGTCTTCCGTCTGTTCCAGGAGCCATTCCAGGAGACTACATTGCATTTGTTGTCATGTCTCCTTAGTCTCCCCTGGTCTGTAGCAATTCCTCAGACTCCCCTTGTTTTATTTGACCTTGACAGTTTTGAAGAGTACTAGACAGTTATTTTGGTAGAATTCTCCTTAATTTGGGTTTGTCTGATGTTTTCTTATGATTAGACTGGGGTTATGGGTTTTTGGAAGGAATGACACTAAAGGTGAGGTGCCCTGGTCATCACATCATATTGGGGGTGCCTGATACTCACATGCCATCCCTGGTGATGTTAAACTTGATCATGTGGTTAAGGTAGCCTTTGCCAGATTTCTCCATTGTGAAGTTACTGTTTTTTCTTTGGGAGTGGGTCACTAAGTCCAGCCCCCTCTCAAGGAGGAGAAGGATTAAGCTCTACTCCTGGAAGGGGCAGTATCTGTAGATACTGTTTGAAAATCTTCTGTAAAGAAGACTTGTCTCTTCATCTTCATATTTTTATTTATCCCATTATTTATTTATATCAGTATGGACTCACAGATATTTATTTTATACTTTGGGTTTTAATCCAATCCTGTGTTATTTATTTGCATTGCTCAAATTGTTTTAGCCTTGGCCATTGAATGCTGTTTCACTTGGTTTTGGTGTCCCCTTGGCATGGCTCCATGCCTTTGTTTGTTGAGCACTTATTGCTGCAGGCTCATCTTGTATTTTCCCTGCCTCAGCCCTACAATTAGCCATGTGTTCAAGGAGCCCTGATTCCTTTTATTAGAGAATGGTATTTAGAAATTAAGATCTGGGTGCTGCATGCTCATTGTCTTTTGAAAGGAAGAAGAAAAAGTAAAAAATGTTATGTATAATGTACAAATTGCTATGGAATCACAGCAGACAGAGTGACTATTCCCACCAAAGGGAGTCTTCACTGAAGAAATGGTATTTGAAGTTGAATAGTTTTCTAGATAGTCAGTGTTGAGGGAGTTGGAGGGGGCCAGAGTGGAAGGAAATACATATGAGCAATATCAAGATCATCTGACTTTTTAGTTTGATCTGACTGTAGACTTACAGGTAGTGGCCCTTCTTTGATTTTCTCATTACATAAATGCTAGCAATTTTCACAGATTGTGTCTCTATATGAGAGGATGTTCTCTGTGTGAGCCCTGACAGTTGACTGTCTTCCCTCCCCAATATTTTCCTTGCAATCTTTCTTCCTTCTAAATGTATCTAGTTCCTACTGTGCCAGGCCTACTGCAAGGTATGGTGGGGGTGCAGAGAAGAATTTGATAGCCCCTCCATCCAGAAGTCCTGTGGTCTGGCGTGAGATCCTTTTGCTTTCTTCTCTCTAGCCCTTCATCAAGTGTCTAATTGTTAATGCTTTTGCAGAATAGCATAAAAAGGAAGAGAAAGTCTTAGCAGTGTCAGTACTGTGAACCTGACATGATACTTGACTCACTCAGAAAGTCTTTTTTCTTCACAGATAACAATTGGTGTATATGATCCCTGTAACTTAGCCCAGCATCCTGGATGGCCTTTGAGGAATCTTTTGGTCCTAGCAGCCCACCGATGGTATTTACATGTGTGTGTCTGTGTCTGTCTGTCTGTCTCTGTCGATCTATTTTTGACATTGTGTCTGCCTCTGTCTGTGTCTCTTTTTTCCCATATGTGTTTTTTCATTTCTGGCATAGAAACCAGATAATAAATCAATTCATCAGTCACAATCCAATTTCCGTCAATGGTAAGCCCCTAAGCAGGTGTGTTATGGAGCTGCAGACTCTGACCATACTGCACTAAAGACATTTCAGAGTAGGGCAGGGTGAGCAGCCAGAGGTCCCAAGCCAGAAATTCTCCAGCCCCTCCCTCCAGCTGTCTGGGTCACCCTCGGATAGGATTTTCCTATTGCTACCATCTTCCTTTTCTCCTTGCCCTAAAATAATGAAAACAGGTTATCTAAGAGGTCAATATACATTTAAAAAGATGCTCAACATCATTAGTCATCATGGACATGAAATATAATGAGATTCTACTCAGTAATAGAGGTAATGAGGTACCATGCTGAGATACTACTACATGCTTACCAAATGACTTGAAAAAGATGACAGTACCAAGTGTTGTCAAAGATGTGAATCAGTTGGAACCCTCAAACTGCTCAAAAACTGGCAGCATCCGCCAAAGTTAAAACTATCTATGGCTCAACAGTTTCTTTCTCAGGTAGATAATGCATAGAAATGTGCACTCAGATATAAGCAAAACACATACGCAGGGATGTTTATAGCAGCATTATTCTTTATAATCAAACACTGGGAATAACCCAGATGTCCTTCAACAGTGAAATGGTTAATAAATTGTGGCATATTCATTGTGATGGAATGTGATGTCGTAGTAAATCTGAGTGAACTGATGCACGTGTCAACACGAATGCCATGATGTTGAGTGAAAATAAGCTGGCCCTTAAGAGAACATGCCCTCTCTGATTGCTTCCATGTAAAGATCAACACAGGAAAAACCCAGTAATGGACTTAGACATTAGAGTAGTGGTTACTCTTGAAAGGGGTGGCCAGTGACTGCGAGAAGGCACGAGATAAGCTCCTTTATATTTAGGATTTGTGTACTTGTCTTTATATCTGTTTTACTTACATAAAAATGCTTTAAAAAAATGAAGGTAGCTTAATTATAGATTGTCCCTGGAGGGAGAATGGTTACACTTGCTTATCCAGGTAGTGTGACTGGAGAGTACACACAGGCTTGCTAACTACTCCTGACTGAGGTGCTGTTTCATAGAATGTGAGTTCAGAGGGGAGAAGGGGGATCAGGAGAACCCATGTATGTCTTAGCAGTTCTTTTTAATGTCTTGTAAGCTTTTTCCCCCTGTATTTAAGATGCATTTGTCAGAATTATTTATTTGTAGTGTAATTGTTATATAAACTTCACTTAGAAATCACAGCCAATTCATTGTTCAGTCTCTAAGCATTTGGACAAAGGAAAGCATACATGGACATGTTCAAAATCTCTCAGAGGTTAAGGCCGTGCCCCAAGAGTGTCAGGGAGGCATAATTAACAATGAATTGAATACTCTCCAACTGGTTTTGCTGAAGCTCTTATGTGAGCTCTTTCTTTTCTTTCCTTAAAAAAAAAAAAAAAAATGAATTAATTCAAACCTGGGGCCTGACATCAGGAGTAGCAGTTTCCAGTCTGTTGAAGTCCTCTGCTTCCGGGACCGCACCATGCAGGGGGTGAGAGACATTGCCCACAGCATCATCTTCGAAGTGAAGCTTCCAGAAATGGCATTTAGCCCAGGTAATTTGCCGGTCTTTGAGAATGCATATAATTATCATTTATCAGAAACTGAAGCAAGTTTAACTTTCCTTTCATCCCTTCACAATGGCAGCAGAAGGTAGAGAAAAGTACAGCTCCTAACTCTTTGCCCATGGGAACACCTCCCTTGAACAGAGGGCACACTCTGCTATTCAGAAAGAAACAAAGGCAAAGATTGTCCTCAGGAAATTTCCTCCAGGCATTTTTTTTTTTTCCCCAGTCTTGAGATTTCTTCCCCCCACCCCCCGCAGTTTTTGTTCCACATAAAATCTTTATTCCTGACCTTTCTTATAGGAAGAACAAAATATTAATACACTTACATATTTATTTGTTATATAAGGTTATGTGTGATCTTTCTCTCCATATAGTAAATCAGTCAGCAAAAGTGCCATTTCTCCTTCCACATTTAATATTCTTCACTAGATCCTGTGGGGTAGACATCAGCTGTTATCTCCATTTCATAAGTTAGGAAACTTGGGCTCACAGATATTTTATAGATGTGTGTGTGTGTGAACATACATTTATGTATTTATATACATGTCACAAAGATAGAATACATACTCAGATTCGAGTAAAATAAAGATAATAAAACCTGCCTCATGGAGTCTCCCTTAGGATGAATGTGTGTCCTGGGTAAAAGACAGCGTACAATGTCTGGTATATTATGGGCATTTAATAAATGCTAATTTATGTTAATTTCCTATTTTACACAAAGCCCTGCACTCCAAAATGATCCCTCAGATATCTATGACTTACATGTTTTCCAGGATACCTTTACACACATTGTTTAATTTGCTCTTCACCACATCTGCATTGTTCCAAGGCACATTGCTTTCTTTCTTCTGGGGGTCCTATGCCTCAGAGAGAGAGAGAGAGAGAGTGTGTGTGTGTGTGTGTGTGTGTGTGTTAGGGAAAGCAGTGTTAGCATCTCTTCTGAGATGTCATTTCTAGAGTGAAGTTAGAAGGTTTCAGGATTGGCTCTGAGAGCATTTTATCAGTGATTCTTTGCCGCAGCACTGATTAATGTCTTAAATGGATTTCTTGGAGAGATTAACAGAGGATTTGGCTTGTTAGGCAAAGAAGGCTATAGGTTAAGTTGAGAGCCCTAAGAAATCCACTGCTTCCCTGCTGTCTTTAGATCCATGCATTTGATTTAGCACCCTCTTCTGGCACATTCTAAAATAGCTTCCATGTGCTATTAACTGAGGTGCCATACCTGCATGCTAAGCCACAATTGTAGATAGTTCTAGGGGAATGGGTGAGTTAACTAGCAAGTGATATGTGCCTGGTCTATGCCTGGCAGGCCACCCGGTGCCTTCCACACTTCCTCACTCACTTAATCCTGCCAGCTTCTACAGAGGAGGCACTTTTGTTTCCATTTTTATGATAAAGTCATTGTATGATTCTTCCTTCACAGCCCCAACAATCTCACTGATGCTTGGTGAAGCTGGCAAAGCCTGGAAACATTGCACATTTCCCTTTTGGAAAAGATGCTTCCTATCACCCAATAAATGCCTTCAATACATCTTCTTTATGCTTGATAGTGAGTGTAGATTATTTAGTTTAGGAAAGGCAAATTTTCTTTTTTTCATGTAAATTAATGTTTTCCCTCTTAGCTCTGAATAAAACTTTAAATAAAACTTCGTAAAGAGTTATTCTATATCATAGTATGAAATGAAGGCTATTGATACGGTAGTATTTTTTATTATTTTGAAGACAACCCATAATTGCAATGACAATGGCATAAGAAGTATAATTTTAATCATCTTTTGTTCCTCGTGGTGCAAAGAGCCCACTGTCCATTGCTGATACAAAAAGTGTTCTGGCATCCAGCCGAGGGAGGCAGCAGACTCTGCTGTGAGTGGGACATTCTTCATTTTAATTCCTGTCCTTGATGTTCTCCTCCTGCTTGTTCAGTTGTGGGAAAACAAGACCTAATTTTCTCCTAAAAAAATATTTTTCTTTTAATTTGGGGCACGTCTTATGGATGTAGTTTATATAGAGGCAGATAGGATAGATTAAATACTATTGATAAATTACATTTTTTCATTGTTAATAAGCTTAAAGTATATCTAATTTTCTTAGAATTGGCTGTAACGTTTTGAGTACAGAGATGTTTTCGTTGGAAATGAAATTTTGTTTTTGTTCTATGACTTCTTATCTGTAACAGGAGAAAGCTTAGGTCAGAGTTGTTAGTTACAGTACTAGACTGTGGTTCTGAAGTTCTTTCAAGTTTTTGCCTATATATTTGAGAAGTATTTTTTTATTTAATGTAAGAATACTTAAGGAAAACAAACAAAATATGAATTTAGTAACATGTCTGAACTCCTTTTCCCAGAAAAAAAGAATTTTGAACTCTTAACCGCTGTAAGAACTCATCTTTTATATCATTTTTAACTTTTTGTTACATTAAAAAAAAAAAAAAAGGACCACATCAGAGTGCCTGAGTTAAAATGGGAAGGGACATTTGTTTTCTGGCTCCTTGCTGTGAATGATGTCTCCAGCCATAGCTTTCGAGGATAACTGACCCCAAGGTTTTCCATTGGTCATCCTATCCCAGAAAGGAAAGATTGCGTTAAGAAAATCTACACCTTCTAGGTCCTATAATTATATTGTGCAATACTATTTGAAAAACAGAGGTCAAAAGCTAAAAAGTTCCCAAGGAAAGAAAAACAGAAGTGCTGACAGCAATCTAAAAGTAGAATGGCCAAAGAACACCAACATACAAATTAGAAACATACAGTTCTTCCCAGTAGTCCTATACATTTTTAAGTAGAGTTTAAGGGAGTTTCTGTTCCTTCAGAGACTGTTACTTAAGGCAGACATTGGAGGGGATGCCAGCAGCATAGGTCGTGACCAAGTGAACTCCCTGATAAGGAGTTGAGGCTTTATTGTGAATTTCAGGTATTTGGTGAGAATGGGAGAGTGGCAGATGTCCTAAGATGTGAGGAGTGTAAGAGAGGCCCCCATTAGCAGGTTTCCACCAAGGAAGTCAGATTACCATTAAGGTGAGAAAGTAGCAGGAGTATTCTAGAAAGCAAGTGAGACACTTAAGAGGATTTCATAATAGTAGAATAGAGCAACCACGGGACACTTAGCCTCTCAGAGCATCACACAGAACTGGAATTGGAAGTTCAGAGGCACCCATAGCAAAGGTTAAAAGAGGTTAGTGGAGAAAAGAGAAGTCGGGGAAGGGGAAGGTCTAAATGGATAAGGATAAACTTAAAGGAGAGGGCAGCTTAACAGAGGGACAGGCTAGGTGCGCAGTGACAGTGTTGAGAGGCTGAGCAGAGGGACATGGTAAGGATGAAGAACAGGAAGGAGGAACTGAACGCAGAGGTTCAAAGCCTGGTGGGAACTTCAGCAGAAGAGGGCGGTCACGCTAGCTGGGGTTCCTTGGAGAGAGAGCCCTCCACAGGGTTCTACCTGTATACCTGTATCCCAGAGAGGATTGTCATATTTTGAGCAGCTGCCAGGAACTGGGGAAGTGGAGGCAACTCAGGCCAGAGTCAAGGGCTATTTCAGAAGCCGCTCTCCAGGAAAACCGTGCTCAGGTCCGGTGGTCTCTCAGCAAGGGTGCGGGTAGTTGAGGAAGATGGCGAGCAACTTAGCAAGTATGTGCAAATTCAGGCCCTGGAGCCTCTGTGAGAAAGAAGTGAACTGAAAGCTTATTAATGTGTGGTCCATCTTGCTACTTACTTGTTTTTATTCGTCCCTCCTTCGTTCAACTCACTATTTTATTTGCCTTAAGATTGTCCCAAAGCAGTTGGATGGGAAAAAAACCAGAAAGGCGGCATGGGACCGAGGATGGTGAACCTCAGTGAATGTATGGACCCTAAAAGGTATATTTTGGAAGCTGTTTTCTCCACTGGGGCCATTTATCACCAGGACACACAGCACGTTCTGTCAGGCCAACCGCATTGCTCAGCTCAGTGCAGGGGGTGCTGTTCACGTTGTTGAGTGTTCCTCCACTCGTCGCTGCCTGACTCTTGACTTAAGTGTGGTTGTGAGAACTAATACCACCGATGGAGATTCGGAAGGGCACACAGTTCATCTACTCTTCTAGACATTATAAATTTTGTTCTTGCTTTGAGCTGAGACTCTCAAACCTAGTTAGTACAGATACCTACTAACTTTTAGTCCTTTATTCATGGCCCTTTAATTTTTCCTATTACCCTATATTGAAGGACATTGTAAGAAATATTTCAAGGAAACCAACATTGTATTTAAGGGATGATATAAGTGCACCCTTTTTTGAGGGGATGTGGAAAATATTTCTTGGTTTTCAGTATTAGGGAAAACTTTCCTCTTAAGTAGCTGGTGTTTTTTTATTTATAGATACAGTGACTCCTATAAGTGGTCATGTTTGCATTTTCACCTTGGCTGCTAGGGGCTCAGTATCATTTGTGGCCTATCACTAGCAGTTGCAATGGTCTACACTGGCACAAATTGTGTGCCGTTTCTCCTCCCTATTGCCCTAAAGCTCCATCTTATTTTCCCTTATTTCCCTTATTTTGCTCAGGATTTGTTCCTCATTTTCTTGTTCGGATGCTTTCTGTCTTTTTAGGATAAGATGGGGGCATAAATGAGTGACTGAATGAATAAATAATTCTGTCGTTTTCTAGGTTAGCTGAGTCATCAGTGGATTTAAATCTCAGATTGATGTGTTGGAGATTGGTCCCCACTTTGGACTTAGACAAGGTTGTGTCTGTCAAGTGTCTGCTGCTTGGAGCTGGCACCTTGGGTTGTAATGTAGCTAGGACATTGATGGTAAGTTGGTGGAGGCCAAGTGTACCTCCGAAGCTGTGGCTTCTTTTCTCATTTTGCTGTACCAGACTGCCTCCCACCTCCCACGTTCCCCTTCCCTCCCTCCCTCCCTTCCTTCTTTCTTTTCTCAGTTATCTTTTTAACTCTAAAAGGAACTCATACTTTTATTATAAAGTAGAAATAGAAGGTCTTTCTCCACCCCCATCTCAAGTCCCATTTCCCAAAATTAAGAAGACTTCCTAGATTAGTACGCAATATCATATTCCTTGAAGTTTTCATAGGCAGATGCGAACATAGAGAGGGACATTTGTCCTCTCTGCTGCCATTTGTTTACAAAAATAGGATCATAGTATACTGTCTGTAACAGGTTTTTAGTCTTAACAGAAAAGTGATTGTGGTTCTCTGTGTGTTCCATATAATTATACGTAGTATTTTGTTGTATGACTGTGTCCTCAATTTTTTTCAACTTCAGCATATTTTTTTGAGATGCTGTTGAAATGAACATTTTTATATCTTTACATATGTATAGGGTTATTTCTTTAGGAAAAAAGGCCTGAAAGTGGAATTATTATTTTAGAGAGAATGTACTGTGTGTGTGTGTATGTGTATATATATGCAAACACACACACACACACACACGCACTTATATGTACAATATATACTATGTACAATATGTTTATATGCGGTTTTTTTTTCAAGCTAAATTACCTTCCAAAAACATTTTACTAGTCTGTACTTTTAGAAACATGTACAAAACAGAGCTTTTTAATTTGCATTTCTTTTATTAGTGAGAGTAAGTCTTTAATTTCATTTCTTTTGTGAATTTTATTTCTCTTATTCTTCTAAATTTAAAATTAATTGACACAAAATACATATGGTATTCTCTTAGCATCTTTAAAACTCTCTATCTTTTTAAAAAATATTTCTTCATTCCTAAGGTTGCATGTTTATGTTTTCTCTTTTTTTCTCTTATTCAGACTTGCCAGAGAGGCTTGTCTATTTTATCAGTCTTTTTGGAGGACTAAGGCCTTGATTTATTTATTAGTTCTATAGTTTTTAGTTTTGTTTTGCTTTGCTTTTAGATTCATTACTATCTACTTTTATCTTCATTAATATCTTCCTCTTTTGTGGAATCTATTTGATTGTTCTTTATCTGGCTTCTAGAATTAGGTGCTTAGGTTTTCTTAACATTTTTAAAAATTATAATGGCAGTGGAAACCTGTAGAAAATTTGTTAAGTATCAGAGTTATAAAGCAGGAAAAGAAGATACCCATTTTCCTACCACTTTTTCACTTATTTCCTTTAATGTTTGTTAAATATATATTTAAAAATCTTATTTATGATAATGTCTCATGCTTTTATCTAGTAACATTGTAAACACTTTCTCATGTAATTAAAAATTATGCCTATTAAGTGTTTTTAATGACTATAGAATATGCCTTTTTATATGATGAAATATACTGTTCTGAGACATTCCCCTAATGGTGGGCATTATTCTTTTTATTAAATATTTATTTATTTATTTATTGTTTATTAAATAAAACAATATTTGTTAAAATATTGTTTCCAATATTTTACAACTGTAAATTATGTTGTGGAATATTTTTGTTAATATTTCAGATTACTTCCTAGGATAGATTGCTGGAAGTATTTACTGAGGATAGATTGCTGCAATTAGGCCAAAAGATACGAACATTTGAAAGATTGTAGAAACATATTGCCAAATTGCTTTCCAGAAAAATTACATCAGTTTACATTCTCAACCCGTATAATAGCTTTTCGTCACCACATCCTCACCAGCATCGAGTGTTACAGTCTTCTTTAATCTTGGCAGATTAGCCATTTAAACTGTGTAGCATTCCAGGAAGCCAAAAGTTGAGATCGAATGCCCCCTGCATGTGGCTAACCTATGGCCTGTTTGTAATTTACCTGGCTTTCTTCCCACTGCCCAGCATCTTCCCAGACTGCCTTCCTTGCTGTCCACTCAGCATTGCTTTAAGGAATGTAAAAATACTTCAGAAATAAATGTCCCCAAACCAAGCACAAGTGACTTTTAGATTTTTCATACCTTTATTCTGCCTCCATGGTAGATTGCTTTGCTGGTAAAAGTCACTTACAAAACTAGGTGAGTAGACCAAAGTTTACCTGTGGGCTTTCAAAACAGATAACCTAAACTATGCTTTTGAAAGGATGGATTCTGGCCTGTCCTTCTCAACCCTGAACATGCATCTTGGGTTCTTGTTGACTGTCCCCTTGGAACCATCAGTCTAATTGAGTTTCTGAGTCCCTAATGGAAAGATATTGAAATAAGAGAGAGAGCAGAATCAGCTTTGTAGCCAGTCATGGCAGGGCTTCTCTTAGATCACTATGCTTTTTTATGATCTGCTAAAATACACCCTGCACCTCACCCTCCAAGAAGTAGGGACCTTCATTTGGTTGCAACTCTGTGGATCTAATTCCCTAACCAGATCTATGACCTTAAGTGATTTCCAGGCTACTCTTGCCATCTCTATAGAACAAAATAATTGGACTAAGGATGTTAGAGATTCCATCTCACTTTAAAATTGTGTGGTTCTATAAGACTTTATAGGAGTTATAATTGAAGTATATGAAATCATGCAAACTATTTCTGAGAATATGGAATTGTCTCCTGCATTACCGAATATTAATAAGGCCTTTACGTCTTGAAGAAGTAGTACAAAATCTTCTCTGACGTTATACAATGGGGAATAACTCATAAGTCATTTTTCTGAGGAGTTAATTCAGGCTTTAAGTGAGTTTTAATGTGAGCTATTATTTATACTTAATTATTCATTAAGGGAAAGCAAGGACATTTAGGGGCTTATTGCTAATCCTTCTAAGACAGCAACATGGACAATTCTTATGGGACTCACCTCCAAATCTTTCTCTGGTGCCACTGTCAAAAATAATGAGTTATTAGTCAGACCCACTCTGACATTTCTTAGTCTCATTACTGCAGAAAACCAGGCACCGGCTATATAATTATTTTGTCTTTTAAAGGAAGTTGACCCTCTGTTGATCAGAAACTGAATTTGCACAGTGCATTTCCTGAAGTTTTCTGTATTTGAGGTTCCCAAGCTGATCCAAAGCAAAACCTCTTTTAGGGATTTTAAGAGAGACACTCCGTGACATGTTCATCAGAAACACACCATGATCTCTTGTTTCCATGCAGGGTTGGGGCGTCAGACACATCACATTTGTGGACAATGCCAATATCTCCTACTCCAATCCTGTGAGGCAGCCTCTCTATGAATTTGAAGATTGCCTCGCGGGTGGTAAGCCCAAGGCCCTGGCTGCAGCAGACCGGCTTCAGAAAATATTCCCCGGAGTGGTACGTTGATGCTGTTTGGGGATGTCAGAGCTTGTCTCCTATAGCTTCCCACAATTACTCTTGGGGAATGAGGCCCTGTCGTATTGGTAAAAGAGAGTTGGATGTTTGCCACTTACTACCCGGGACTTCATGATGTGGCCAAGCCTCTGTTTCCAATTTGCAGAGATGGGCATTGAAAAACAAAGCAAAACTCTCATCTGTTATTGTGAAAATAAAACGAAGAATTTATGAAAAAATGTTTTTGTAAGTTGCAAAGCATTATCTGAGTCCAAGTTGAGGAATTTGGGAGCATGCATATTTTTATATACTGCCTTATTCCAAAGGTATTCTTGATAGCTCAGGTATAGGATATTCTTTCTCCTTCATCACCAGAATACTTGATAGTTACTTAGTACAGGTTTATGAAATTAAATTGAATGTAGTCTGCGCAGAAGGAAGATCTGGCTAAATATTCAGCTTGAGTTGCATTGTTTACTTTAAAAACACCAGATAATAAGAGACAAGTCATTCAGCTCATTTGATTCAAAATCTTGCCAGGTTTGTTTTTCTTTTAGGTCATCCACAAAAGAAAATGTGCATCTTGCATGCGTAATCAGTTTATCTGACAGAAGTTAGGTTAGATGTCTCCAAAGCATCTGCTAACACTTAAAGTGCCACAAGAGGCTCTCAGCGCTAGCTAAAAAAAAAAAAAAAAGCCCCCGTTCTCAAGGTTTTTCTGTTTAATCACTCAGTATTAGATTCATTCATTTTAGTTCTTGCTTTAAAAGAAGCAATGTTGTTGGTTTTGTCCATTTCACCAGTGATCCAGGGGAACATCATCTATTGGGTCTAATTCAACACTATTGATTGAGCACCCACTGTGTCCCCAGCTAGATGCTGGAGGCCAAAAGAAATAAAAATGTTACAACCCTGTCATATTAGTTAGGTTTCTGCTACATTATTGCATGTCACACAATCCTCACATCTCAGTGTCTTATTATTATAAGCATTTATCTCACACTCACAGGTCTGCAGATTGGCTGTAGCTTAGCTGCTGGGCTAGGCTAGACTCCAGGCTTTAAGTCAGGTTCCAATCTGTGCTGTGTGTCATTGTTTTAAGATCTGGGTTCAGGGAGCAACAGTCATCTAGGTCATGCTCTTCTTATGGTAGAAGGTGGAAGTGTGAAAGGATTGGTGAAAACTTATTATACCTCTAAAAGTCTCAGCTCACCAGTGACACAGTGCAGCATTCTCCATCCCCATGCTAAAGCCAGTCACAGGGCCAAGCCCAAAGTAAGTGGTGTTGGACAGTCTACTCTGCCTTCCTAGTGGAGGTCCTGCAAAGTCATGTGGCAAAGGGTGAAGACATTTAATTCTATTAGTGAGAGGCAGTGTGGAGTTGGGAAGAATAATCCAGTCTGTCACTGGAAAGTGTTATGAACTCCCCTCAGGGCCCAGACAGACCTGGCTTTGAAGCTACCTCTGCTACTAACTAGTTGCCTGAAATTTTTCCTTGTCCAAATGGTCTGTGATCCAGTGCAGTCCTCCCTATTTATTTGTTCAGTTATTCTTTCCTTATTCATTAAATATTTAAGGCCTCTGTGTGCTAGGGACTGGGGAACAAAACAAAGTTCCCTCTCCCCTGCATGGAGCTTCTGTAGTCCAGAGGGGGGACATGGTCAATAACTCATTCCATAAACGGTTGTAATTGTAGTGAGTGCACGAAGTAGGAGCTCAGTTGCTGTGAGGACATTTACCAGGCAGCCTGACCTGAGCTAGACTCGCTTGAGGAGGCTAAGTCCTAGGGTGAGTGGGGGTCAGCTAGATGAAGGGTGGCAGAGCTGTCTGTGCAAACGCCTGAAGCAGGAGGCAGCACAGCACTTCTGTGGAACTGACGGGAAATAGGGAGCCTGAAGCATGGAGGTCAGGAAGACAGAGAAGGGCCTAGGGCAGAAGCTAGGGCCAAAGGTAGGGCTGACTCACGTTGGGCCTTTGAGATCAAGTTCACCTTTCCTTGAAACCATCAGCCCACCAGGGTCAAGCGTCCTCCTTGGCGTTTACATTGTGCTACTCTGCTTTCCCTACTGGGTTATTCAGTCCTTGAGGCCAGGAGCCAGGTCTCTTACAGTTTTATCCTTCCCGCCTTATAAAGAATAATGGATAATGTGCAGAATCCATTAAAGTCCTGGTGTAATCCATCATAATTTCACCTACGGGTTACCCAGGCTTATGGCGCTTTCTTTGTATGTTCGGTTTGGTGTCGTTTCCTTCAGCAGATACTTGCTCATCACCTTCCTCATACCAGGCTGCAGACATGTCTAAGGGAACAAGAACGTGGAAAGAACTTTTCTGCTGCAAATACCCTGTCTACTCCTGGGGTTAAATTAATTAAATAGGGAAAAAAAACCATTAATAAGTCAAATAACTATTTGAAGTAACCTTTTCTTTTTTAAGACAAGGCAATAAAATGTAGGATTGTGGAACCGCACCAGAGATTTTAAAACCCAACTCTGGACATCTCTTTTCAACCCTGATGAGTAATTGGTTTTGGACCAGCTCTCCTACCATAAACAATTATGCAACTGGGTAAAATACATAAAACGACTCTCTCCGTCAATGAACAATGGAAAGACTGTGGTCCTAGACAGAAAGGAAAGAAAGAATGTCCCAGCCCATTGCATGGAGGCACTTTCTGGCCCATGCCAGAGCCCATGAGGAGCCCAAGGAGATGTTCTTGGGCTTGATGAGCTGAGGAAACTAACATCCAAGTTCAGAGCAGCTAAGGGAGCTGGAACGCACCGGAGAGTGTATCAGACATACAGGAGCTGAGCAGAGAAGTAGTCTGGGCAGGATCTTGAGTCTTTGACCAGATCAAGCTGCATGAGCTCAGGGCATGACTCTGTAAGCCTGGGCAAAAAAGCACCACTGTCTGCTGTGAGCAGAATGGAGATTCCAGAGCTCCCCCAAGGCCAGGAGACATTAGAATCCCATCTATCCAGAATGGAGCGTCCTCACTGAACACCCTGAGCCCTTAGGTGACACTCCAGTAAGGTCAGAACTAAGCATAAAAGCTGAACTACAGAGATTCCAGGAGAAAGCAGCAGAGTAGTCTTGTGATAGGCAGAGGTTGCCTAGGGCCCAGGAAATACTGACCATAGTGAAAAAATGGATAACTTGGACTTCATCAAAACCTAAAACTTCTGCTTCCCAATCGGTGCCATTAAGAGAATGAAAAGGCTGGCCAAAACCCAGAAAACAGTCACAGTATGTCTATTTGGCATATAGCTATTATAAAGAATCCATAAACAACCCCTACCACTCAATAATAAAAGGACAGGCAAGGCTTTTTTTTTTTTAAGGGGCCAGAGACTTGTGCAGACATTTATTTCATAGGGAAGATCTATAAATGGCCAGTGCACACATGAAAATGCTCAACATCCATGGTCTCAGGGAAATGGGAATTAAAAACCATGAAGATATATCACTACATACCCACTAAAGTGGCTCAAATTAAAAAGACTGACAGGGCTAAATGTTGTCAGGCTGGGGAGCAACCAGAGCTCTTGGTCTGCTGCTCAAACAACCACTTTGTAAATCAGTCCAGCAGGTTTTCATGAAACTAAACCAACCTAATGACCCAGAAATCCCACTCGTAGATGTTTACCTAAAGAAAATGAAAATGTATATACTCTAAAAACACTTACAGAAGATTGTCCATAACAGCTTTATTCATAATAGCCAAAGTTTAGACATAACCCAAATAGCTGTCAATGAGACATTGAATAAACAAATCGAGCTTTTTCATACAGCAAAAAGGAACACACTCTTGATACTTAACAATATGGATGGACTTCAAAAGCATTATGCTGGGCAAAAGAAGCCAAACACCAACAGGTGTAAACTGTGGGATACCATTTATATGAGGTTCTAGAATAGACAAAACTAATCTAGGGTTTTAAAAAGTGGTTGCAATAGTCGTTGTCCCATTGGGGGTGGGGAGTAGTGAGGATTGACTGGGAAGGGGCACACAAGCATGTTCCGGGGTGATGGAAATGTCCTATGTCTTGATAGGTGTATGTATGCAGTGGTTAATCTGCAGTTTGTTGAAACACCCAACTGTACATTTGAAATCTGTGTATTACACTTTCTGTAAACTATCCTTCACCCTGGCTACACATTTGAATCATCTGGAGTGTTTTAGAAAATATTGATGGTAGGGCCCACTCTCAGAAGTTCCCATTTAAATAGTCTGGGGAAAAGCCTCGGCATTAGGAATTTTAAAACCTCCCTAGGTGGTTCTAATGTGCAGCCAAGGTTGAAAACTACTGTGTTGAAACTTGCTGAATTCCGGCCTTAGGCATGTGAATCTAAATGGTGGGCTGAGAGCCAGTCCTAAGTAGGCTTACTGGCTGAAATTTTAGCAAGCAGAGAATCATTTAGGTCAGTGAAGTAGGTATGGATCTGTATTATTGAAAAGGTCAGAATTGGTGTTGAGTAATTATGCTTTAATCTTGATGTCATTAATATACCTAAATAATACCTTTTTTGGATGAAGCTACCGCTGTTTAAAATATTTTGCCAACTGTAATAAGACAGTAAGGTATTAACATTACTGCAGGTTTTTCTTATTGTCTACAATATTTGATACATGATAGATGCCTAATACTTAATGAGTGAATTAATTAATGAGGCCCAGATAGCTGTCTCTGTAGTGTTCTCATTGTTAAAATGGGCTTGTTTTGAAGCCTCTTTCTGAAGTCCTTTCTGTCTGGTGTCTTTTCCTGCTTTGCCTGAAACTTTTTTCCATTCTCTTAAATATCATTGCTTTTGCTACTATTGTCCCTTTCTTGAATCCCGGAGATTAGGTTTAAAGTTTAAGATAAGGAGAAAATAGCTACAATTCACAAAAATAGATTTTTCCTTTGTAAAAGGACCTGCTTATTCTGGTTTCCACCGCCCCTGCCCCCAGCTGTTTTTCCGGTAGGTGACAGGTTTTGGCAAATGAATGAAAAAGCTAATGTTTTCAAACTCCTCCCTGTGCCAGCACTATGCAGGGGATTAAGGGTGTGGTTTGTGATTCTAGAACACTGTCTTTTCTGTGGACAGTTAATGTCCCTGGCTTCGTTGACACCCATATGTGACTCATAGTTAATCTGCAAAGACACAGTGGGGCCTTCAGGGGACCAGTGGTAAATTACAGAGCTGTTCTAAAGCCCCTTTGAAAACTCCTGAGTCCCCACATTTGAAGAGAATCCGGGCCACCCGACAACTTCTTTGCACAAGGAATGAAGCTTCATTTGAGTACCACACTCTGTTATAGCTCATCCCCCACCTGTCCCCTCCAAATGAATATCTATCTACACACTTATAAGTAGGTTTTCTGGTTGTAAGTTAGCAAATAGAGTTTTTTGGTTTAAAGAGCTTTTTTTAAAGTGAGTATACCTCTAAGATTAAGACAAGACTATCAGTCATTCTAATCTTATGTAAGTTTATTAAATGTTTTTTGTTATAATATCCTATTTGGAGATGTTATAGACTAAGGAAATGGGGTTGCAATTTGGGAACTAGTAGGGAGAAACAACTGGACAAAGGGGACTTGAGCACAGGGCACTTTGATAGAGGTTCCTGGCCTCAGATTATAGGAAAAACCAAAGGTACGGTTTTCTCCAGTGTCCTCCTTGCCTCAGATGGGAAGTACTTACCTCCTTCTTTGGAACTAGGATCCATATGTCTCTGCTTGCTGCTTTATCCAGGCTCAGGGACCCTGGGATGACAGGACAAGATAATCTAGGATGTAGAGGTGAAGAAGGTGCAGGGCACAGGTAGCAAAAGGGACAAGCAGCGAAATCATGCACAGAGAAATTTCTGGTTACAAGCGACCACACATGCATGCTTGTAGCTATGGGGAGACATGGGCTCTAAGATATCCCCTATACGTTTGCTTCAGACATCTGTATATCTGGTGTTTCCCCAGAATGCCAGAGGGTTCAACATGAGCATCCCGATGCCTGGACACCCGGTGAACTTTTCCAGCGTCACCCTGGAGCAAGCCCGCAGGGATGTGGAGCAACTGGAGCAGCTCATCGAAAGCCATGATGTCGTTTTCCTGTTGATGGACACCAGGGAGAGCCGGTGGCTCCCTGCCGTCATTGCCGCGAGCAAAAGAAAGGTAGAGTGTGTGGATCCTGGCGCTCTTGTGTCTGGTTGGAACTTGACGTGCCATCACCCTGGAGGGAGATCTGCCTTCTCTCCAGAAGAGAGATATGCTGTGGGTGACCTAGTGACATCCCAAAGGCTGTCACTGGCAGGCGCTGTCTTTGCCTGACACACCACCATCTAGTATAATAGGTATCGTCTATTTAATTTTCACAGCAACCCTTTGAGGTCCTCTAGAAGGGATATTTTACTTACATTAAAATGTAAGCTCCAAAAGGACAAAGACTGTCTCATTCCCTATTGTTTGGTCAATGACAACTTCAAGGGCCGACAGTACTGAGTGGTTAAATAAATCATAGTACATAAATATGATGGAATACTATGTGGGGTGATTCCAAATACCGCTGTGCACAATTATGTTCTCAAAAACTTTAATAACATGGAAAATATCACATTATGTTAAATAAACAAGATACGATATTATATATATTTAATATGAATTGTTCATATCTGTAACCATATAAACATTTATATTGTTTGGCAAGAGGGTGGGGAGGAGGCAAGAAGAAGGGAGAAAGAGGGGGGAAGAAAAGAGAAAGAAAGGGAGAAAACAACAGGAAGAAATACCCAAAACTATTAGTAGTAAGTGTTTGAGCCATGAGATTGTGATTTTTGGGTTTTTTTTCCGGTGAACCATTTACTTCCAACTTTCTATATAACCAGAAATTTAGGAGAATAAGTTAAATTACAACTAAGAGAAGTTCTAGTATAAGTGAGAAAAAAAGTGTCCTTAAAAAATCTGTGTGAAGGTTGAATTGTATAGTGTGTGAATTATATCTCAGTGAAGCTATTATTTAAAAAAAAAAAAAAAAAAAGGGCGCCTGGGTGGCTCAGTTGGTTAAGCAACTGCCTTCGGCTCAGGTCAAGATCCTGGAGTCCCAGGATCGAGTCCCGCATCAGGCTCCCTGCTCAGCGGGGTGTCTGCTTCTCCCTCTGACCCTCTTCCCTCTCGTGCTCTCTGTCTCTCATTCTCTCTCTCAAATAAATAAATAAAATCTTTAAAAAAAAAAAATGTGTGTTGGGGTGCCTTGGTGGCTCTGTCAGTTAAGCCTTTGGCTTAGGTCATGATCTCAGCGTCCTGGGATCGAGCCCTGCAGCCGGCTCCCTGCTTAGCGGGGAGCCTGCTTCTCCCTATCTCTCTGCCCCTCTCCCCAACCCATGTATTCTCTCTCTCTTGCTCTGCTCTCTCTCAAATAAATAAATAAAATTAAAAAAATATATATGTGTAGGCATGTCAGATGATAGCACAATGGTGGAAAGAATGAGACTGAGAACTCTCAAGACTTGGTTTTATACATTTACCTCTTACCAGCTAAGTGACCTTGGGCAAGTTATAGAAGTAACTGCTCTAACTTTCATTATCCTCATCTGTAAATAGGAAAAGTGTTCTGGGAGTTTTAAATGAAACCAAATGAGATAATTAATGTTAATCACTGGTCAAGTGTTTTGCACTTAATAAATCCTCAGTATTGTGTAGCTTTTACTAACATGGCTTCTAGACTCTAATTACATTCATACGCAATACTTATAAAATAAATTTTAAAAAGTTGACCAAATATGAAATTAGCCATGGCTTAAAATGTAGGTGTCTTGTAACTCTAGACTTTTATTCCTTGAAATCCACAGCTGGTCATCAATGCTGCCTTGGGATTTGACACGTTTGTTGTCATGAGACATGGCTTGAAGAAACCTAAGCAGCAGGGAGCTGGGGACTTGTGTTCTAGTCACCTTGTGGCACCTGCCGACCTCTTAGGCTCATCACTTTTTGCCAACATCCCTGGCTACAAACTTGGCTGCTATTTCTGCAATGATGTGGTGGCCCCGGGAGATGTAAGTGGATTTCTTTGTGCTTCCAAATATTTCCTACAACTGTCTTGCCCAGTGGGGCAGAGAGACCCAACTCTTTCTTTTGTGACTATTTAAATATTGTCTTTTAACAAAGAGAAGAATTCTCTAATTTGGGGGTGACATTATCTCACCATGAGCCTTGACTGGCATTATCAACTGTGCACAGGCTGTTCCTTGTTCAGCAGCATACACGCAGTGACCAACCATTTTTTGTGGAAAGCTCATCAGGGAAACTGCAGGATAGACTGGTCCCTGGCAGCACTCAGCACTGTCTCCTGTGCATGTATCACTGAAGAGAACATCAACTGAGGGGTCTGAAGACCCGGATTCCAATCCAGGCTTGGACACTGCCTTGTGGGGTGATTCCAAATACCGCTCGTAGGCTGCCTGTACTTCTGCAGAATGGGGCTGGGTCCCATAAGATGGTCAGATTTAGCAAGTGAAAATACAGGATTCCCAGTTAACTTTGAATTTCAGGTAAATAATATTTTAGTATGAATTTGTCCCATGCAGTATTCAAGACCTGCTCATATCAAAATAATATTTGTTGTCTATCAGAAGTTCAAATTCACCTGGGTATCTCATATTTTATCTGCTAACCCCAGTAGGAGAGGGGAGAATACTTTAACCTGACTACTCTTGGTGTAAGGTGGGTCAAATGTGAAAGTGCTCTGAACAGCAGGCAGTACACTGTTCAAATGTAAGATTCTATGGTGTTAATGCCACCACGCAAGGCACAGTCTGTAGGAATGGTCTTTTATAAGAACAGATAATCATTTCCGGTGAAACAAAGCATAGGTGTTTCCGTACCCTTCCCTTCATTTTCCCCTTCTTTAAAAACTTGTTCCTTAATAACTCCTACCTCTTTTGGATGACTGGCTTTTATGTCCTCCCTGTATAAAGAAAAAAAGATAAATATTCTCCATGTGAAGAAGGATGACTTATAATCTTCATCAGTGGTTTTATAACATACAGCTGGTCCCGTTATTTCATCATTACCAACAAGTAGGATTAAGGGTCAATTACAGTAAAGTTGTATCTGTTCAATAAGGTGAAAAATTCAGAGTCAAAATTATCTCTAACAACCTCTTAATTTTCCTGAAGTTGGAAGATTAGAATTTCTTTGGTTGCACTAATGAAGGTTTGTGTTTGGAGCCTTGTTGTAACAAAAATACTTGTATTTCAGCCCAGGGATCACACTCAGTGTGACACGATGTCTACACTGTGAGAGGCCCACAGGAACTGAGGACTGCAGGAAAGGCAAATTATTGTCCCACATCACAGGCACTCTGAGGCATGGCTCAGTTAGAATGGCAGGGCAGAATCATTTGCATTATTCAAATGATTATTCTTTTCTGTCTCTCTGTCCCTCAACTACCAAGCACATTGGGGTTGATTTGAGTCAGTTAAAAGAGCACGTGATGCAACTCCATATATGGGGCCTCTAGGCCCCTAATCTTTAATTTGTTCATAACTGTTACTCCTTTTAGCAAATTACCTCATTTAGTTAACTAAGTTGTATATCTTGTTTTTCTTGGTATTTGCAAGAAGTGGTATTATTTGAGGCTGAATGTTCTTTGCCCACAGTGAGCGAGCATCTGGTTATGTTACTTAGCTTTAACATGGAGGAGGTTCTTGTTTCAAACAGCAGTTTGAAACAGTTGAGTGGACTAGAACTTTGAGCACACATCAATGATTGTTTCTCTCTAGTCAACCAGAGACCGGACCTTGGACCAGCAGTGCACTGTGAGCCGCCCAGGACTGGCCATGATTGCAGGAGCCCTGGCCGTGGAATTGATGGTTTCTGTTTTGCAGCATCCAGAAGGGTGAGTTTACTGTTTAGAGATGGTCGTTTACACAAAGAAAGCTTTTGTGTCTCCCTTGGCCTTTTCTTAGCCTGACTCTTCTGAGAATTGTGTTGCTCTTCCTGTCTTCAAAAAAACAAGGCTGAAAAACCCAGTCTGATTCTTTGGCCTAGGAGAACTTGTCATGTGATCTTCGGGGCTATATCTCTGCATCCTTCTGGAATTGAACTCTCCTGGAGTTATTTGGTAACTGATGATAAGGAAGAATAAACATTTTGGTGGGGGCCTGAGGGACCTTCATGCTTTTATTCTGTTAGTAGGTTTTGATCTCCTTAGCCCTGAACATTTGTAAGGCAATACATGAATCACATGTGATAGAAATTGCATTGGGCTTTATGTAACATCTTCAGCGACTTGGCCAAATAGGACTTTATTTTGCTTATGCAGCAAGAAGCCTAGAGGCAGGCAGTCCAGAGTTGGTACAAAAGCTTTGTTATGCCATCAGGGACTCAAGTTCCTTCTTACCATTCACTCAGATACCCTTAGCTTTTTTCCTTATGCTTGCTACCTTGTGGTCACAAGATGACTACGCCATCTCCAGTATTGCTTCTGTGTTACAGTTAAGAACACGTGTGAGCTCCCTTTTAAAGAGCTTTCTTAGATTGATTCTAACTCCTGTATCACATGGCCACCCTTTGCTGCAAGGAAGACTGACAAATATGGTTGTTTTTTCTGGGCACATTACCTCCCTGAATAAAGTTGTGGTAAGATAGATGTGGAGAATGGATGTTGGGTAGGCAAACAGCAGTGTCTGCACACTCATTTTTTAAAATTATGTATATATTTTAAACCCCAGAAGAGATTGTTATATAGTGGTTTCATTATGTTTGGCTGACATTTTCCTTTTTTGTTACTTTTCATTTCCTTCTGTATCTTTGAGCTTCCAGCTAAGGCTATTATCCTTCTGCCAGAAGAATGCCCTTTATTATTTCCTTTAGGAATGTTAGTGACAAGACACTTCAGTTTTTGTTTGAGAATGACTTTATCTTCATAGTTGAAAGATATTTTTGCTGGGTATAGAATTGAAGATTGGTGGTAATTTTCTTTTAGGACATTGAGAGTATAATCCTGTTGTCTCTGGTTGCTTTTGTTGTTGTTGAGGAGTTGAGTGTTTATCTCACTGCTGCCCCTCTGATACAGTTTGTTTTTCTTCCTCTTTCCCTGCCCTTAGTTGCTTTTTAGGTTTTCTCATTGTCTTTGGTTTTCAGAAGTTGGACTATACTAATACATAAATACTTATTCTGGTTCTGCTCTCTAATGCTTCTTGAATCCATGGCTTGATGCTTTTCATCTGTTGTGTAAAATTCTCAGCCATTATCTCTTAAAATATGGCTTCTGCCCCTTTCTGTCTTCTTTCCTTTTGAGTCTCTAATTGCATGTCAGAATCAACCTATGCCCTTTTCTGTATTTTCCAGTATTTTGTCTTTCTTTGCTTCAGTCTGCCAATTTGCTTTTGGCTTATCTTCTAGTTTTCTAATTCTTTCTTCTTCTGTGTCTAATATGTGTTAAACCACGCATTGAGTTTTTACTTTTTTTATGTTTCAGTTATAAAAGTTCCATTTGATCTTATTTTATACATTTCCTAATCTCTTCTGAAATTGTGATTTTGTTCTTTTTCATTCCTTGAAAACATTTAATTATGTTTTTCTTTTAAGTCTAAGAAGATATCTCCACTATCTGGATCTCCTGTGATTCTGTTCCTCTTACCTATTGGTTTATTTTTCATTGTTTGTTTTTTTGGCTTTTGGTTATGTATTATCTCCTCTAATACCTGGTATTTTTCATTTTTTTTTTAGACAAAACCTTTTGATTATGGAAAATTTAAACATACATGAAAGAAAAAACATATGTAAAATAATAAACCCCATTATATAGACCACCCAGCTTCAACAGTTACCAACATATGCCCATCATCATTTATCTATATAGCTATCCACATTTTTCTCTTCTCACTGGTTTATTTTAAAGCAAATCCAAGATGTAGCATTTCATTCATAAAAATGTATCTTTTTAGTGTGTATCTCTACTACTTTACATATAAAAATAAATTAAAAGTAATTCCTTCACATCACCTCATATCCAGTTAGTTTTTAAATTTCCCCAGTTTCTCAAATCTGCTTAGTTATTATTTATTTATTTATTTATTTATTTATTTATTTATTTATTTATTTTTTGCTTGGTTATTTTTTACTAACTACTGGACATTATATATGAAAAATTGCAGAGATGATGTGATTTACATTTCCTTCTGGCAAACTGCTAGTCCAAATAGATCAGTCCTAGAACACTTAAGTCCAATTAGGGCTTGTCTATTTCTGCTTCACTCTTATTCCTAGGATGCAACCCCCATTGGTCCCAACCCAAAGTCTGGGATATTTTTCATGATTCCTCCTTATTGGCAAACCTTAAGCTGTAGTTTTTCCTTCCAGTCCATTTGTCCATATAACTGTCCATATAACAGCTTCTGATCCTATAGCCACTGCTTTTGGAGATTGGCAATCACTTTATGACAGAAAGTTCCCCTTGCAAATGCCTTGTTGACCTCTATGGGCTTCTCTCCTCTCACAGATCTCTTGGCTCTGTAATTCTCCCCTACTTTGGTAGCTGTCATGCTTTCAAACAAAGGTTTTAATACTGTATCTAGTTTTCTGTTTGTTTTCAGTGGAGGGTTGGTCATGACCACCTAGCCTACCAATGCCATACCAACTTTAAAATGTTTTTTTTTTTTTTAATTTATTAAGCACTCATAGTGTACTAGCTTGCATGTGAGAGTAAAGAAATGAGCAGGCTGGTATGTTTTGTTTCAACTTGACCTAGGCTTTAAGTAGTCTATATGTTTACCATACTGTATATATGTTACATTAAAGATACAAAGCTTAGGGGCACCTGGGTGGCTCTGTTGGTTAAGCAACTGCCTTCAGCTCAGGTCATGATCCTGGAGTCCCAGGATCGAGTCCCGCATTGGGCTCCCTGCTTGGCGGGGAGTCTGCTTCTCCCTCTGACCCTCCTTTTAAAAAAAAAAAAAGATATAAAGCTTAGCACAGTTGTAATCTGGACACCCTATCTGCTCCAAGCAAGAAGATCTTACTTAATGACCTATAAACAATAGAATTAATTCATTTTGTAATAAATAGAAGTGAGATAAAATTAATTTCAAGAATAGAGCCAGTAATTTTAAGAAAGAAAGGAAAGAAAAGAGGAGATGAGAAAGGGGTGAGGGAAAGAAAAGGAAAGGAAACAAAGAAAAAAGTAGAAGAAAAATGATTAAACAGTTTAAGATTCTCTCCATATCTGCCCAAGGCTCTGCTGCCAAGTGTCAGCAAAGGCAGACTGAAGTCAAATAGATATTTACACCTGACTATCTGACAAATACACTGTAATTTATTTTATTTGTCAGACACTTATTATATAGTGCTTACCGTGTGCTAGGCGCTGTTCTAATCACTTTGCAAGAGTAACTCACTTAATCTTCATAGCAAACCTATCAGGAAAGAACTATTACCTGTCCCATTTTTGAGGGGGAAATTGAGTCATAGGGAGGATAAGTTGCTGGAATTCACATAGCTGGTAAGTGGTAAAGCTGGGCTTTCACTCAAGGCAGTTTTGCTCCAAACTCTGTTTTTAATCATTCTGCTATGCTGTTTGTAACACAGGCAGGAGAGAATTGAATTTTCAAAAGATTTGTTTTTCCAATTCTCAGAAATTAACATTGAATATTCTATTTATTTTATGACTCAAGAGTTTTTCTACGCAATTGAAAAGACCTCTGTACACCGTTGGTAGCATACATAGCTAGTCTAGGTGTAACAGTTAAATGAAAATAAGCAGCTTTTTTTTTTTTTTTTTTTTACTTCCTCTCATCTCCGTTATCCTCCCGGGCCCCTGCCTTCTAAGTGTAGTAGTGTAGTGTGGCCTCCTGACAGGGCGAATCTGGGATAAAGTCTTGGAGAGCCAATTATGCCATTCCTTGCCACTGGCCCCTCTGTGTACAGTGTTTGCCCTGGTTGTAGGCTGAAACCAGGTCCTGTATCGAATGTCTTCTCTGCCATAAGGAGACATCACACTGTCGTTCAGGAAGGAGTGCATCTGTTCTCCTACCTAATTAATTCCTCATTGTTCTATCTTCTTCCTCCATTTTTGTAGCATTCATGTCACCTCAAGTTAAGGTTGGAAAGTTTTCCATTTCAAAATTTCAGTACAAAACTGTGCCCATGGTTTTTACAAGACTATCTCAGAATAAGGGAGTTAACATTAATCTGCTTATCATGTGCCAAACATTGCACTTGGCAGTTTGTCTAACTTATTCCTAATTTATGCCTCATAAAGGTCTTATTCCTGTTTTATAGCTAATGGACCCAGAGCAAAAGAGAAGTTAAGAAACTTGCCTGTGGTCATAAGCTCTAGCCTTTCTGACTTCAGAACTCAGGCATTTTTGCGTGTGTGTGCTCTTCTTCCTCTTTCCCTCCCATAGAAATTAAGTTTTCGCTAGCTCGTGCTGTCCCACAAGGGGCGTTTTTGGTTATCCTTGTAAATCTCACAGGACCCCCCCATCATTCTCACAGGTGCTAAACATAAACTTTTATTAAACAAGCACCTCTAATTGTTGTCTTTTTTCAGGGGCTACGCCATTGCCAGTAGCAGTGATGACCGCATGAATGAGCCGCCAACCTCTCTCGGGCTTGTGCCTCACCAGGTTAGTGATCTGGAAATGAAATCTAATTCTGGACCTGGTCCCAGTGGTTAGGGGGAACACATGTGGGGTCACTTCACCATACCATCAGCTCAGCCCACCACTTTTCCACCCTCCTTATTCTCCAGCTGCCTTGAGTTTCAGGGAGAGTGCTTTAAGACTACCTGGGCAAGTATCCCATTCTGCAGGGATGGTGATGAGGAGAAACCATGAATAAGCTGCATCACCCAGAGTCTTGGACGCCTTCAGCATGTTGACTAGAGGTCTCGTAATGGAGAAGCAGCAGCAAGAACATACTCTGGAATTGGCCCAGATGACAGTTTAAATCCCAGCCCTGCAGTTAATTAAGATGGCCTTCCTTGGCCAAATCCCTAAACTTGTCTGAGCCCTTGTTTTCCCTTCTATAAAATGGAGACAGTAATGCCTCCCTTGTGCGGGAGTTACAGAGATTAGAGACGATGGGTGCAGAGGGCTCAGCAGTGGTGCCTGGAGTGTCATAGGCCCTCGGTGAAGGATGCTTGCTATTTTTGTTGCTGTTATTTATTATTGACTCCCGAGCCACATAAAAGGCCTTATGGGCATGCATGGGAAAACCATTAGAACTGTCAAAAAGTAGGGCCTCTTTTCAGAAAAAGAATCAAGCATCATGAGGAAGATCTATCCCATAGAGAGGGAAAGAGAAAAAAAGTGGTAGAATGAAAATTTCAAATTCATGTTGCCTTGTCACTAGTTTTTGTTACTGTGTTTTTGGAGGAATGAAGACGTTTTCCAGTCTTACTTTCTGGAAGTCATTTCTGTAGGTGCCATCTGTGTATTTCAGTGTGTAAGAGGAAGGCTGTCTCCACACGTGAAGCGGTGACAGTGCCCGACAGTCCCGTCTGGGGCTTGTGAGGACAGGCTCACAGCTGAGGGCAAGAGCAGGATGGCCCACTCAGCCCATGTTGGTCTCCCCCTGCCTCCCCACCTCCTGCCTCCTGTCATCTAGGACAGCCCTATCATTTTCCAGTTGACGGTTTGAATCAGAAGAGGGGAAATTATTTGCCCACAGTCACAGAGAGGTAGTGGATGAACCAAAACGTGAACCTAAACTTAGCACGCCTACTGGTGCTCTTCGTGAGGTGTCATGAATGAAACTTCATTGCCCATTGGGAGTGTTACCTTGAGGTCGCTACTCCAGCCCTCCTGCATGAAGTCACCTGTCAGACACCTTGTGTTAGGTCACTTACCCTCCCAGAGCCTCAGTTTCCTTATCAGTAAAAGCAGGTGCCTTACCTTGTGTCCAGGATGACGTCTGTGATGAGGCTTTGCAAACCATAAAACACAGTGCAAATGTGGCTTTTCCAGTCTGTCTCACAGACTGTGTGCCACTGTGTGGCATTTATTTGACATGAATGTGTTCATCTTTTTATAGAAACATTTCAGGCAGGACCCAACAGACACTGTAATAACCCTCCATCATAAGCAAGCTGTCTTCTAGAGCTGACCTCTGCTGTTTATGCTCGAATCTCATTCGAATCCCTACCCACTTCCCCTCTGCACACGGCTCTGTCCCTTTCTTCTGACCTTGAGACGTGCCCTCATTGCCCTTACAGATTTCATACTGAGAAGGGCCTTAATTAAATTTTCAGTCATGCCCCTATATTTCTCTCCTTCTTTGAGTCCTTTATGTTAAATCACCGCAGCTGTAGTTTTCTTAGTGCTGAGGCCAGAGGGCAAAGCAGTCTCTTTATAGAAGGGGTCCAGTGTCAAAATGCATGTGCCCATGTTTTTAAAGTACTATGGCAACTAATCCCTCTCAGTGTCACTTACCCCCATTGAGCCTCGCAATTGTTTGTCATTCACCAACTCTTCTAGTTCTTTCTCCTCGTTTTCAAATGTCTGAAGGATTATTTTGGTTGTTGGCCATCTCTTCATTTGGTCTTTTCGAAGGCTGAAGAATAACCCAGCCATATATGGGAAAAGCCCAGTGCTTGTGTGTGATTAGTTGCTTACATTATTTCAAGTTTCAAGCCTTTATTTTTAGCTACTATCTAAAAAAGACAGTGGAGAAAGAACTTTAAAATTAATCAGGGTTGTGTGGTTCCTATTTATAGGCTTTAAATTTCTTCTTTTTTTTTTAAATGGAGTGAGTCCATTTATGCAACTGTGTTTTGATTAGGAGAACATCGTTTCCACAAAAACACTGGGCTCTGTTGCAGTGCCCTGCTGCAGACTCAGCACTTCCCTCCTCCTCTTCCTGGCTCTCCAGATTTCCTCTTGGAGAGGAACTTGGTAAACCCCTTTGTGTGCCTTGCATATAAAGAACGACCCGTGAGTTCCTGGGCTTGTTTTTTTCTGTTCCCCGAAGGAGAGTGTGTGTTAATTGGCCCCTGTGGAATGAGCTGTAGTAGAAAAGTGATAGCCCTTGGATAGGAATCACAAGGCCCCCCAGCAGCAGCTCATTGGGTAATCTGGAGAAAGTTGCTTAACTTAGCCTGTGGGCTCTGTGTCTCTGCTTTCCCTGTCAGATCAGGGAGGCCTGAGGATGACTTAGTTGATCTTCCTGTGGGACCACAGGCAGAATTTGGCCCATCCAGAGATTGGCCAAGTGTAGGAAAAGGCTTGATTAGGTCCTGATATTCATGACAGTCAGCCTGAAAAGAGCCTGACTGATTTTGAAAACCATGAGACCACCATTTGAAGGTAGAAAACTAGACTTATGGGTTTATTCTTTTTTAAAAGTGTCTGGCCCAGTGTACATGGATTGGATTCTGCAAGCAGCCCGCAATGAGCATAACCCTCTTTCGGTCTGTATAAAGCACATCGAATCCTACAAATCATTAAGTATACAACTTGAATTATCACAAAATAAATACCACTCATTTTTTTTAAAGATTTAATTTATTTATTTGTCAGAGAGAAAGAGAGAGAGAGCACAAGCAGGGAAGCTACAGGCAGAGAGAGAAGCAGGCTCCCCGCTGAGCCAAGAGCCCGATGTGGGACTCGATCCCAGGACCCTGGGATCATGACCTAAGCTGAAGGTAGATGCTTAACCGACTGAGCCACTCAGGTATCCCAATAAACACCACTCATGTACCCAGCACACAGATCAAAATAAAATGTTATCAAGCATCCCCAAAGGCCCCTTCATGCTTCTTCCATTTATTATTGCATCCTTCCTACACAGAAGCAAGCATCCCTTGACCCTCAACACTGTGGGAGACTTTTGTCTAATTTTGAACTTTCTGTGAATGAAATCATACAGTATAGTGAACTCTTTGGAGTTTGGCTTCTTTTGTAGAAGGAACTTTTTCATTGCAGATCTTAGCATAGTATTGTTCCTTCTGCTTTCCATCCAGTGAGATCTTACCAAAAAAAAAAAAAAAAAAAAAGTTGTCTTTTCCTGGCTCCTGGGGTGGTGGCTGAGTTCCATGAGGTCAGACTGTTTTTCTGTTTCTTTGGTGCGAGGCACAGCTCAAGAGTTAGAAAATGTACAGGCCACTCCTGGTATCTCCAGGAAGTTGGTTTTGCAAGTTCCTGAGAGATCCTGAATGTGATGGAAATTGGCAGCCTGTGGGAGCTGCTGATCATTTGACTGGACCTCCCTCAGAAAATGAAAACCAAGGGGGCAATACAACAGTCCTCCAAACACCACGGTCATTAATATAGCAGTCAGCTTTTATCCCACTTGTGGACCAGGCAGTTCACATTTTTTGTCTTTGGGTGAATGTACCCTTGGCTCTCAAGTACTGACGAATAAAGACCCTGAATGTGTATGCCCTTCCTAGGGGTTTGGACTTGCCAACCCCATGGTTCTCCTGGGCTCTTGAATTCTTTCTTTTAATTACTTTCAGAAAAGCAGACAAAGGCAGAACTAGGGCAGGACCCTGGGAGAGACCTGGCTTGGGAAATCTCTGAGACAAGTCTGAGATAGAGGGTGGGTCCCTAGCCATGCCTTGGGTTGCTAGTTATCTGGCCTGTCTGCACAGGCTATGCCCCCACAAATCCTCAGGCCTTTAGCTTTTAACAAGCTCTCTTTACTTTGTTCAGAAATGCTTATCACAGTGTGCCTTTAGGGATGTGGATGGACTGACTGCTAAGGAAAGAGATTAAGAAGATAAGCAATAAAAGCCCATTTCCTGAGATGTAGCCCAAGAAATGGAGTCTCCTTCCGCCTCTGGTTCTATACCCTTCCAATTGATGATAACGGGAATGGCAGGAAAAACGAATAGTCTAAATGTCTGCTGTTTCTCTGTATCAGATGTTATAGTTTGTGACCTATCCATCCTCCCAGACCCCCTTCCATTCAACCATCCCTTCAGCAGATGATTCCCAAACATTGTGCCAAGCACCATGATGTTCAGAGAAGTTCAGTAACTGGTACAAGGGCACCCAGTATTTATTTCCATACCCCCAAGCCATTTGGATGTGGTGGAACCTCATTACAGAGGGAGGCCCCCGAATAGAAGGAGGGATCTGGGTACAAGATCTGATAATGTCTGTGCTTTCTGTGTGGAGCCCTAGAAGAAGAGAGGGTGATAGGTCTTCCTTGGTGCATGACAGAGGGGATGAGTTACACATAGTGCCAGAGTTCACATGTGTCTTAGAGAGCATGTCTTGTCCAGAAGACTTGGGCATAAGTTTATCAGTTCAAGGATGTTACTTGTGCCCCACGAGTTTTGCTCACCTAATGAGGCCGTCCTGTTTGAAAGGTCCTGTGTGGGAGGCAGCCTGTAGGCTTTGTGTTACATAGATCTGATTAGAATGAGACCACCATTTGAAGGTAGAAAACTAGACTTATGGGTTTATTCTTTTTTAAAAGTGTCTGGCCCAGTGTACTTCTTAATTACATTTTACAAAAGTGCTTTTTAAAGCATTTTTTAAATTTTTAAAGCATTAATTACATTTTACAAAAGCACATTTTACAAAAGTGCTTCTTAATTACATTTTCATCCATTAATTCTTTAGCTTCTTTTACAAAAGATTTGAGGCAGCTCTTGTCACTTGTTACTGTGTGGCCTTGGGCAGGTTACCAATCCTCTCTGAATTTCATGTTTTATACAAGTAAAATGGGGATAATTATATAATAAACTCCTAGAATTAACATACAGATTATATCACATTTACTAAGCACTAGCACAGTTCTGGGCACATAAGGGATACTAGTAAATTTTGGTTTTATTTTCTCTTTCACTTTTAATTAAAATGGTGAAATGGAGCTTCTGTGCTCTCCAAAAAAGGGAGTTACAAAGAATCTTCATAAAACTCTGGAAGCAATGAGTGCATTGGGAAGGACTGAAAAGATTAGCCAGCTCCATTCTGCAGGATTTTTCTAAGAACGATGCTGGCTCATTTCCAGCTCAGTTCTTCTGGCCCTTGGTGACTCCAGTCGGTAACGAGAGGTGGATCGTTGGTAGTCACTGACACCGTTGTCTGAAACGAAGAGGACTGTGCTGTGCCTGGGGGGTTGCAACTGCTCCATTCCTCATTTTGGCATTGATTTTGATTAAGACTTTTCAACGTCCAAGAGTAACCTCTTGGAGTGTGGAGTTCGTTTTTATTTATGCAAACTCCAAGCTCTAGAAATGTTGCCAGGTCTGCTGGAAACTGGTGTGAAGTCAACGCAGCAGGCTCCACTGTGGCCGCACTGTGCCCGCTCAGCATGGCTGTTTGGGGGCATTGGCCCTCCGCTCCCCGGCAAGGCAAGGTGGGCCTAGAGCTTGGGCTGCTTTTACTCCGCTTTCGTGTATACACTGCCAGTGGCAGCCCAGAATGGAAGCGGCCCCTTTCTATTCCTGATCTATTTATTTTGTAGTCAACTAGGCATAAATGACTGAAGATAATTTCATTCACCCAGGCCCTGATAGCCGCCATCTAGGTGTTGAGTTTTTGTGTTTTTTTGCAGGACTTTTTGTTTGTTTAATTCTCATGGCCTTCTTTTTCTTTCCTCCTTTCTTTTTATCTTCCCCGTGCTCTGCAGCTCTCTTCCCCAGGCTTTGGAGCCTGAAGGAACAGAACTCAGATTGCTGGCTTTGCCACTGGGTGGTTGTGGAACCTTGGGCAAGCCACACTTCCCTGAGAAGGTCACAGGATGCTTATGAGAGTAAATTGAGATAAATGTGCGAAAACACCCAAGAGCACAGGGCACGGGGATGGCGCTTGATAGTGCTCTCCTCCCTCCCTTCCTGTTTTCCACATTACTCCAGGACATGCCTTCCCGCACAGCTTGCAAGGAGAGGAGGGAGCAGCTGTTTATGCGAAAGGGAAAAAGGAGAGGGGTAAGCACTGTAGGGGAGGTAAAAAAGAGGCGGAGAAGATGGGTGAGAAGGGTGCTGGTGAGTTTGAGGACCTATAGGGCTGCAGGTGTGCCTATAACACAGGGCTGGGAAAGCACGGTGGGTGGGGTGGAGGGGAGGCAGTCAGGATCCGACAGGCCATTTGAAAGGCTTGGATCTTCACCCCAGGGGTAGTGGAAAGCCAGTGGAAAGTGATGAGCTGGACATAACTTGGTAAGATTTGTCTGCTGCCTGGAGAATGGACTGGAGGAGATCTGAGCGGGTCTGGGTATAGACTTGCAGTCGGCTAGCCTTTAAGTGGAAGACAGCCTAAGCCAGGGGTTCCCATGTCTGGCTGTGCCATTTCAGAGTCAAATTTCCTGGCCCTCTTCCAGATCCACTGAGTGACAGCCTCCAGGGACGTTAGGCATTTGAGAACCACAGCTTCAATCTATTAAAAAAAAAAAATGACTTTTTGGTGGCATCCTATGGGACAAAGTACATTACTTGTCAAGTTAACACAGACCAAATCCTGCTCTTTGAACATGCCTTTGAGTTTTGTGCTCCCACCAACTCAAGTTCTGTTTCCAAAAGGACCCTTGACACCTTTTTGCCAGCCCACACCTCCAGCCCAAGCAGGTGCTCCTGCCTGTGAGCCTATGGAGCTAATTAGGCACGGCACAGGTGTGCCTAATGACCAGGGGCTGGGACCGCCTGCTGTCTCTGCTGGGACAGCCCGGAGGGAGGCCAAGGAGAGTTTAAAGGCCCTGCTCTGAGGCTTTTGCATATCTCCTGCCCGTTTGTCTGTTTTACTTCTCTGGGTGAGGGGAGCTTGTCCTTACAAGGCCCTGTTAAGCCAAGGGCAAATACCACCAGTGCCTCGCTAGTATTTGACAATGGAGATTTCAGCTCAGGCTGCTTTCGTCCTTGACGGGGCTTGGGGGCCATGAGAGCTAAGGGAGCCAAGAAACCACAGCTAATTGTATTTCTTCTAGGTCCTGTCATTCCCAGGTGAGCTTTTAAATATTCAGGAGGGTAGCAAAGATACATTGTAGAGCTGGTTTGTGCATGAAAATTTTTTTTTCTTAGAAGGCAACACAGGAAACTGATGCTGGAGGTTATTTTGAGGACGAGGGGGTTGGGGGCAATAGGGACTTACACTTTTCAATTTATGCGTTTCTCTACTACTTTGAAAATGTTAGGGTTATAAAGTGTTTTTTAATTACCTCTTTTGAGGTATAATTTATATATGCTCATTTAAGTGTGCGTTTTAATGAGTTTTGACAAGTGCATACACATATATAACCACCACCCCAAGTGAAATGTAGAATATTCCCAATCAACCCCAAACTTTCCTTTCTGCGTTTTCCCAGGTAATATCCCCACCCTCAACCCCAGGCAACCACAGATCCACTTCCATATGGGCCATTTAAATTTCTTATTTTTTTCTGTATTAAGAGGAAAAAAACTTAATGTAAATTTAAAAAAAATGTGTAGGGAAGGAGGCAAGGTTTGGCCACTCTAAGGAATCTCTCTTACTAGTCCCAAAGCTAGGTAGAGAGGCATGTGTGTCTGTAAAATCGGCAGTTTTCCCCCCTCAGTATTCAGAGGAGGCCATTTAAAAGGAAGTTAAATATTTAAGTATTTTTTTAAAAATAAGAAAATGGGAGTAAATATCCTGTTGGAGCATGGGTTATTTTTTGTTGTTGCTCTTTTGTTTTCTGTCATGTGCTTATTGTTTTTATATATTTATAGGTAGAGTTAAATTTTTAAAATAGCTGTTTAATGCCTACTCTCCTGTATGAAAAGATTGACAGCAAATACTAGTAATAGAATAAGACTTTTTAGTAAACTGTGCGCAGTCCCAAAAGTTAGAGAATTTACCTTGAGCAGTGTCAAGAGGCCTTACTTGTTAGGTCCTGTGTGGATGGAGAAATGACTTTAATATCATTTCATAAAGCCTTTTCATTTGAATGTTATTTTAGATGTGGGCAAAATCAGGTAGGTGTGGGGGTGCTATTTTTAGAAAACGTGGAAAGAATGAGAGCTTTGCTAAAAGCTTTCGCCTGTTTTCTGACCTCTAACAGGTGATGTTGAGTGGTATAGAGCAAACCACAGGAAGGTGTAAATAAGGTTGCTAACTGAAAGCTCCTGTTTCGCATGCTTGCCTGATGAGAATCACCTGGGGCTCTTGTTAAACATACAGATTCTCAGGCCTTACCCCAGCCGTTTTGAATCAAGTTCCAGGAGATTCTTCTTTCTGCTCAGGCAAGTTTGGAAAAACAGCATATTGCTTCACATACTTCACACACTTCTAAGTAGGAAGCTGATGGTGAATTTTTCCCCACCCAAGCTAAGGACAGATTTTTAAAATTTCTTGGATTGTGAACTGGGGACTGGCCTCTTACATAGGTGTGAATGTATTTATTAGGATTTTGCATAGGGTACCTGGATTTTAGATTGCTCTGCGATTTCTATGTGTGTCTAAGGAAGGTGCTAAAATTTTAAGTAGCAACCTCTGCTCTTTAAATTTTACGCATTTCTTTTAAGATTGAGGGAATGCAGAGCATATTGTGGAAGTTCAGTGCAGTTTTTAATACTGGGGTTTTAAAGCATTGTTGATAGGGAAGGGCTTCAAGTTGCCTGGAAAATGTGAATGGTGCTAAGTTGGAGGTTTTTTGTGGTTTATTTGGGACTTGTTTTCTCTGTATAGTCCAGATATGAATAATTTGGTAGGCTTCGGGATGTTTGTGTTTTTCTCATTCATTCATTTCATAATAATATGTAGTCTCTCTTATAAGCATATCACTGTGCTGTGGGCAAATGCAAATATTTCAACCTGTGTCTTGCCCTTTAAAAGCAAGAGAAATAAATGTTTTTGTTAGGTATAGCACACAAACTGATTCTAAAGTTCATATGGAAAGGCAAAGGACCCAGGATAGCCAAAATCTTGAAAAAGAAGAACCAAGTTGGAAGACTCACGCTTTGCCAGTTTCAAAACTTACTACAAAGCTACTATAATCAACAGTGTTGTACTGTCATAAGGATAGATATATAGATCAACAGAATGGAAATGAGAGCCCAGAAATGAATTCTTATATTTAGGGTCATTTGATGACCATTCAATTGGGGAAGAATAGTCTTTTCAACGAAGTGTTGGGACAACTGCATTTCTACATGCAAAGGAATGAATTTGGACGCTTATCTCACACCATATACAAGAGTTAACTCAAAATGCATCATAGACATAAATGTAACAGCTAAAATGACAAAACTAGAAGAAAACATAATCCTCATGACCTTGGGTTAGACAGTGGTCTCTTACATATGACACCATAAGATAAAGCAACCAAAGAAAAAATAAATAGGATTTCACGAAAATAAAAAGTCTTGTGCTTCAAAGGACACCATCAAGTGCAAAGACGACCCACAGAATGAGAGAAAACATTTGCAAATCTTATCTGAAAAGAAACTTGTATCCACAATATTCTTTAAAAAACTCTTAAAATTAAACAATAAAAAAAATTTTTAATTTGTCTAAGAATTTGCATAGTCATTTCTCCAAAGAAAATGTACAAATGGTCAAGACGCACATGGAGAAATGTTTAACATTTCTCTTAGTCATTAGAGAAATGCAAATCAAACCGCAGTGAGATACCACTTCAGACTCATTAGGATGGCTGTAATCAGAAAGACAATAACAAGTGTTGGCCTTGTAGGCAGGAATGTAATATGGTACAGTCACTTTGGAAAACAGTTTGGCAGTTCCTCAGAATGCTAAACATACAGTTACCATGTGACTCATTAATTCCTAAAATAGTGGGAGCTATTGTATATACCCAATTTTATAAATACCCAAAACGTCCAACTGATGAATGGATAAACAAATCGTGATATATCCATATAAGTACTACAACAAAAAGGAATGAAGTACAGATACAGGATATAATATGGGTGAAAACATGCTAAGTAAAAGAAGCCAGTCTTGTATGATTCCATTTATAGAAATATGCAAAATAGACCAATCAGTAGAAATAGAAAGTAAATCAGTGGTCCCCAGGGCCTGGGGAAAGTGAAGAATGGGGACTAACTGTTTATGGGTTCTGGGTTTCTTTTTGGGGTGATGAAATGTTTTGAAATTAGATATTGGTGATAATTGTATTATTCCATGAATATACTAAAAGCCTCTGAATCGTAGCCTCTGAATCGTATACTTTAAGAAGATGAATTTTATGGTACATGAATTATATTCTACTAACCTGTTGGGTTTTTTTAAATAACTATTCCACAAGGTATTTAATGATAAATATCAAAAAGAAGGATTTCAAAAAAAAAAAGGATTTCATGTGATGGAGACAATTATCTCCAAGCTTGATGGTAGGTAGATTAAAGATTTATGAAAGGTGTGTTTGCATTGAGTGGCTTTTAAGGAAGGTGGGGATTTGGCTACGTAGCTGTTTCCAAAAGGAAGGGTTCTGAGTCATTTAAGACATAATCAGAAAGGCAGAATGGTCCCAGGTTAATGGGGGGATCTTGAATGCCAGCATAAGGAATTCTCTGCCGTGTTTGTTTCAGCTCTAGAAAGTTGATAAAAAAGTGACACACTGAGGAGCTGTGTATTAGAAAAGTTCATCAGTGGCAGAGTGTGGCATTATATGGAAAGGAGGGAGCTCACCTATGGAGATACCCATTAGGAGTCTGATGCATTGGGTTTGAGAAGGCTTTCCTTTTTAAAATTACCTAAAACTAATTACTTTGCACTCTGGGCCTTCTGATACCAACTTGGTGAATTTGAAAGGCCTCACACACAGATGTTATTTTACTTCATTTCCTGGGAAAATGAATCATAGTTTCCTAGTAAAGAGCTGTCTGGGGGTGCTAAACAATAGTGTGTGGCCCATGTGTGGCCAGTCCATTCATTCTGGTTCCTTTTTCTTCTGTTGCTCATCACCTGTGTTTTTGTTTTTATTTTTTTCTTTCCTGCCTTCCTTCCTGCTCCTAACTTGGTCTTCTGTCTCCCTTGCTTTCAGCTTTACTTCCCATCTGTAATCATGAGACAGTTTAGCAGAGAAAATTACCAGTATTTCTTTATATAGCATAAAGCTTGATATCAGCTGTAGGAGAAAAAAAGAATGAAAACCTTTTTGTGAAGCGTATATGGAGGCATTAACATAGGCTATATCAATGAACATTTTAATGGAAAATGTACAAAATATGGTCACATTTTGGAGGGGAGTTTTATATAAAAATATAAATGTATAATATACACATATAAAATATATGCATATATTATATATGTATAAATGTAACATAATAGTAACTGAGGTGTGAGAAGGCTCACTTTGAGAATTCTTTTAAGCCTCTAACTTCTTGATCTTACGAGGATCTCAGCATTCCCATTTATGACCTGTTAAAGTCTTTCCTAGAACTTTGATGTCTCCTGATTTGATGTCCTGAATAGCGAACTTAAACCCTGATTGTGCCTCCAGTACTGTATAATGAAATGGTCACCACACTCCTGAGATTTAGGGAACTAAAAGATTGTCACATTTTCAGAGGTTCCCAATGAGGCCATCTAACTAATACCTGCTATCTAATTTATCATTTCTACCAAACATTCTTTTAATCTTGGATTACATTGAAAAGGGTATTTAAAAGATAGCCATAGCCCTGTCTGTCCAGGTTCAATTTTCCAGTATGAACACACAGTTAGACTGTTAGGTGCACTGTGGGCATGAAGATGAAGTTATCCCAATGCAGAAGGAAGCCTTTTTCTTTAAAGAATTTGTCAGGTTTTGTTTGTTTTTATTTTGGGAGAAGTGTTAGTAGGGTAGCTAAAGGCAATAAGGATGTGTGGCTGGGTTCTTTTGCTCTTTTCAGGTGAGACTATTAATTTGTGTTGAGACCTAATATTGAAGACAAACCTGTAATATCCTGAGAGAAAGGGAGGAAGTGGGAGTAAGGTAGGAGGAGGGGGTTAGACCATGTTTAGAGTCAAGATGCCTACTTTTGAATCTTAGCTCTGTCGCTTTCTGTTTTCCTGGGCCAAGTTGCATCACCTTTCTGAGTTTTATCAGCATAAAATGGGGACAGTTGGGAAGATCAAATTAACTCATGAGAGGATTCATTCGTGTTGTCTGATTTACTATAAATGCCAAGTCCTATGGAGACTTCACGGAGTTTACCATTTCATATTTTTCATAATTTCATAATTTTTTCCAAAATTTCATAATTTTCATAATGTTAATGATCTACACAATAGTTTGACACTTCCCGTTTGGCATAAGTATAGTTCTAGAAAGGTATAATGTCAGTAAATTACTTAAAGTTTTTGAAACCTGGTTATAGCCGATACCCTGAAAATGGCAGTCAGTTGTAGTCTAGAAGTTTATGCTCGAGGTGGCGCTGTTTCCCCATAAATTTGGTGATGTTTTGCATTTTATCCCTATCTATTCCAAGTTAACCAAATAACTAGATATATATTTAGAACCGTCTCTGCCTGGCATAGTCCCCACGCCTTCTCACCTGTGATGCTCCACCCAATATCCTATCCTACATACACACACTTACCCATATTCACTATAACTTGTATATGACAGTTGAGTCATCATAAACTAGTTGACCGGTTGTATTTTTTAAGACATTTATTACAATGATACTTTACAGTGTAGTGATTTCTTTTTGTATTTTGGATTTTTTTAGGTCTCAAATACATGAAAAGGTTGTAGGTTCCTAATTGAATAAAAGACATGATACAGTTCTTCCTCAAACTGATTATAGTACAAGGAAAAATATCCATGCTGCACTTCATTTTTGCTAGTAATCCGTATGAAGACCACCATATTATTTCCCACTTCTTGTCAGAAACTACAAATACATTTCACAGGTATGGGCATTCTGAGCTTGATGTCAATTGTTTTGTTTTGTTTTTAGATCCGGGGATTTCTGTCACGGTTTGATAATGTCCTTCCTGTCAGTCTGGCGTTTGACAAATGTACAGCTTGTTCTTCCAAAGTAAGTCATTCTGCATTTGAGGGACTTGTTTTTTAAAATGAACCTATCACCCTTACCAGTGAGAGGCACTGAACCCAACTGAGAACTTTTTTGAGGGGGAGGAATAGGGTCTAAAAAATTGGAAGGAATTTGTCATTTATGTGTATTCATTCTCACAGGGAAAGCAGCCTGAAAAAGTTTTATTTATAGTGTACAAAGAGAGACTGAATTAGATATTGTAGTTCTGTATCAATACTTGCATCACAATAATTTGAATGTGAACTTCACTAGGTTTTGTTCCTCCCCAGAAGTTCCTTGCTCACATGGACCATTATAGAGCAATTTTTAAGTGTTCCTTAGAGGAGGGGGATACCAGGCAGTCCTCATGGTTTGTCTTTTGGAGATCTACATAATGACAAAAAAGTAAACAGATTAGGGGCCTGGCTAGGGAGCCATAAAAGAACCCCTTCAGCTTTGATCTTTCCAGAGGCTCTAAAAATAGAGCTGGTATGTCTTCCATTGTAATGGGAAACGGCTGATGTATCTCAAAACTACAGTGATGGCATCTCATTTTTTAATAGGCCTAGAGATAGTCTGAGTTATTTGTGCCTGTATACTGTGTTTTTATAGCTATTTTTTCTTTTGTATGCTTCTAAGCCATTGATGCCCAGTGATTTAACCTGGGCTTTTAAAACTAAAGCTTCTTGGTAAGATTTTCATGTTCAAGTGTTATGCAAAATAGTGTTGGGGTTATTAATCCCAAACTCTGGCCTCTCACTTCTGATTCAGGACTTCTTTGCCATGGAGCCTACATCTGGCAGTATGGAAGGGATTGAATTCTGGGGAAGCTTTTTTTTTTTTTTTTTTTAAGACTTTACTTGGTCATATCCTATGAGAAGCACAATCCTAACCAGTCTAAAAACTTAACTCAGATTTGAGAATGCTGATAAATTTGGTTAATTTTAGGTGCTGAAACATTTAGAGTAATTTTTTTTCTTCAGAAAGTAAACTAAGCTGTTTTATCATTATGCATCCCAAGTGTCAGCATTGAGATTTAAAGCTTACCATTTATCAGTAGTTACCCACGAGCTCATTCTTTTTGTTGTCTCTCTGAGGTATCATATCTGTTCAAGTCAAGGCCTCAAGGGTGTCTGCTTCTGTCTTCAGAAATGCAAGTTTTAGGATTATATGCTTTTTAGTGAGCACATTTTTTTTTTTTTGAATGGCTGAGCTAATTGGTCTCAAAATAACTTGGCACTTTAATTTTCATACTGAAATCATTTGGCACAGGTGCCAGTTTTTCTGTGGCTTTATGTAGATCAGGCGTCTCAATGAAATAAAGATAATTGGGTTCTGTAAAGGAAAAGCAAACACTCATTCTTTCTTGTTCTCGTTCTAATTAAATTAGCCCTTGAGATACTGTTTATGAAAGAATCACAAGCATACCAGCTAACTGAGGTCCCCTCTATTCTTTGAAAGAGAATCACTTTGCATTTTTCTTTCACACTTATTATAAGCATTAAACTAAATATAGGTATCACTTTTTTGTTAGTGAAGTTAATTCCTCTTGGTGGTCATTCTGAAAAGTCCTGCTTTACATAAACATGCTAGACGATTTAATACAAACGGCCTTGGATTTTAACAGCTGTGCTATTCCCATAGCGATCACTTTTCATGTGGTCTGGGTATTAAATTTCTTTTGTGCTGAAAAGGTTGCTTCACTGGTGCACGTATTTCCTTACAGTAGAAACACAGCATTTACTTACTTGGCTAACTTCTTTATTCGCTTAGGAGAATGTCATTCTCTATTATTTGCAAACCCAACATTAATACTTTGAAATGACAAATCCAATTATAGTTTCATCTCTGTGCATGTGAATTTTTCTTAATGCATACTTAGCATAATATTTTTATACTGAGTCATATCATAGTTGTTATTGTTTCAGAAAGATTCTTTGGGGCTAAAAATGACTTTTTAAAAATTCTCCTTTGATATCCATGAAGTAATTTTTTCCTTTGGTAGTTTTTGGTATTTTGCCTCCTCCCCCCTCCGCCCCCCAGGACCAAGGTCATACTTCTATCTAATTTAACACAAATACAGAGAGAAAGATGGGGGGAGATAGAATAAGCTCTGCTGAGTAATAATGCTCTGTTCATTACCATATTTATATATATGTATAGACCTTTTATAAGGCCTGAGGTGGGGAAGAATACAGTTCTCTACTGTGTCAGGGAAGGCCGAATCATTACACACAAGTCATTTCTTATCTTGTTTTGTTTTAACTTGGCATGTAACCAGATGAATTGTTCCATCTTACAGAAAAAATACTGAAGAATCTGGAGGGAGTAGGGTAATGAAGAGGTATTTTCATTCCAATTTCTGTTTATTGTCTTACGAGACTTTCTTAACATGATGGTATCTACCACAGAATTTCAAAAAATCTTATTTGAAGCTATATGAGTTGTTTTTAGTTCTAAAAAGGAATTTAGAGTCAACTGAAGCTTTTGTGGATTGCTAGCAGAGGGAAAAATAGAATTTAAAACCAATATTCTTGAAAGAATTTCTCATAATATATTGAATTAGTTATTAGCCTTTCATCTAAATATTTTGGGGGGAAGTTAGGGTATTTTTTTGGTAACTTTTTATTTTGATATAATTTTATACTTACAGAGAAGTTGCAAGAATAGTACAGAGAACCTCCTTATACTCTACCCAGATTGACCAATTGTTGGCATTTTGCCCCATTTGTATATGTGTGCACTCCCCTCCCTCCCACCCTGCTTCCTCCTCCCCACCCTTCTCTCTTTCTTTCAACTTTGAGAGTAAGTTGGAGAGATTGTGGTCCTTTCCAACTAAATATTTCAATGTGTATTTCCTAAGAAAAAGGATATTCTCTTACCCAAGCACAAGATATTTTCAAATTCAGGCAGTTTAATGTTGCCACAATACTGTTATCTAATCCACAGTCTGTATTTTAAATGTTATTTATACCACTAATGTTCTTTATAGGTTTTTTCTCCCAGACCAATTCAGGATCCAATTCAGGATCAAGCATGCATTTAGTTGTCATATCTCTTTGGCTTCCCTCAATCTGGAAAAGTTCCTTATCCTTTCTTTGTCTTTCTTAACCTAAATATGTTGATATTTTGCCATTTATTTTGTAGCATTTCCCTCCATTTGATTTTGTCTAATGTTTATGATTAGAGTCATGTTATGAAACTTTGGCAGAACTACCAAAGATGTGATGATGTATCTTCATGTTAGGAGGCACATGATGTATTTTATCCCCTTTGGTGATGTTAATTTCCCCCTTTCCATATTTGTAACTACCTTCCCCAACCGTGAGAACCTGACTCTTACTATCCTGCATGTATTTACTCACTTGCTCAAGTCTAGAATATACAGAAAGTAGTTTCAAAATTGCTAGCTCATACCACTGCAGAAAATCAACCTACTAATTAGAGTTCGATTTTTGTGCATGGTTCTTTTTTTCTACGTAAAATTTATATACAGTGGAAGGCATGAATCTTAAGAGATAACAATTCTGTGGGTTTTGACAAATGTATACATGCGTGTAACCCACATTTCAGTCAAGATCTAGAATGTTTCCATCAACCCAGGAAGGCCCCTTGTCTTGCCCTTACCAGACCATCTCGAGGAAGGAGGACAATATGTTGAATATTGTGACCATTTTCTTTGCTATAAGGGGTAAAACTAGGCACCTTCTGGTATTTTATGCAACAATAGCCTAATTTCTCAGTCCCAGAAGTTGACTAGAAACTTTTCTCAAATCTGTAGTCGGGAGCAGGGCTGTGCCTGAGGCGACTGCATGTGGATATTCTTGTTGCACAATCTGTCACCCACAACCTTTGTGATACTGCAGGAATAGCCTTGAATGAAGAAGCAGGCCCAGTCTTGGTTTTCATACCATCTGGGACCTGCCCACTGCACAGATATAGCAAGCTGTGCCCAGAAACCTGATCTGGGGATTTTAATTAGCAGTTAGCAACCCTAATAATACACTTTGGTGTTTACCATGCCATGGGCTCTTCTGTTGATGGGTTATGATTAAACTTCCCACAGTGACTTGCTATTAGCTTTTTGTGTGTATGTGTACGTGTGCCTTGAGTGATAGAGAGGGCATAGGAATAAAACACTTTGGCTGGTATCCTCATGTAGTAAATTATATGGTTTTTTGTGTTGTTTTTTTTTTTGCCAACCTGTCCATTTATTTTTTGATATTATGTAATCCTAACGTTTTTCTATCCTATTTCTTTGTTACTTAAGAAGTATGAAATAACAGTACTCACTTTAGCTATTTAAACTTTTAGAAAAACCTCTGTCCCAAAGTAATCTGTTGCCTCAGGTTCTACAAATGCACCCTTTTGAGGATAGAAGGGCGAGTCCTAGATATGTAAAAAGAGGTTAAAATCTTGCTGTATGGCTGTTAGCAGGTATTCATTTATTCAACTGCCATTTGAGTTCCTGCTGGGTGCTAGAGATACAAAGATGATTAAAAAGAATGCTATTTAGAGGATGCGGCAGACCTGTAAAGAAGCAATGATCTCCCTTATATAGTGATATGCTGTGCAGTCAAGGTGCATCATGGGGTTGTGGTGTCCTAGTTCCCATTAGTTTTTCAAATAGGAGAGACCAGGGGTGGCATGGCAGAAGGGGACTTCTGAGTTGATGTTAAAGCGTGAGTAGGAATTTCTAGAAACACACGGGAGATAGAATAAGAGGGGAAGTCATTGTAGACGGGGAACTGCATGAACAATAGCCAGAAGAAAGAAAACATGGTACATTTATGCAGTTGTTCAGGATAGCAGTTGTGACAGAGCATCAGACATCCAATTCCCTATGTACTATCCTCTCTGTTAGGTGCCATTTCAATTTCGGCTATTCTTGAGTTGGAATCTAGTGTACTTTGTCTAACATTTGAGGCTGCCATTTTGAATTTTACAATTCCATATAAAATTGTTTCTCACCAGGGCGCCTGGAGGGCTCAGTCGGTTAAGCGGCTGCCTTCAGCTCAGGTCATGATCCTGGGGTCCTGGGATCGAGCCCCGCGTCCAGCTCCCTGCTCAGCGGAGAGCCTGCTTCTCCTTCTCCCTCTGCCTACATGTGCTCTCTCTCTCTCTGTCAAATAAATAAATAAAATCTTTAAAAAAAAAAAATTGTTTCTCACCTAGCACCAAGCTTAGGGGGTTTCCTAGCCTAAGGAATCCAGCAGCTGCAACAGTGTGGTGTGGAGGCCAGGAAGTCGTTCAGGGGATTTCCAGGGTCCTGGCTCCGAGTCCCTTGCTGGCTGCCCGAGTGACCAGAAGCAAGGTGCTCCCTGCTCTGTCTGCCTCCGTTTCTTCTTTTGTTAAATGAGTCAGTTGGATGAGATAAGCTCTGGCTCTCTATTGACCCTCAAAGTTATTAGCTCTTATATTTTCTTAATCTTATTCTTTTTTTTCCACAGCAATCTATTTTAATTATAGAAAAATCAGAAAATATATTTAAGGTAAAGAAGATAATCAACAGTATTCTAGCCGCTCAGACCACAGTTAGCCATTGACCTCTACCCTTCTTGACTTAAGAAAAAAAAAATTTCTGTGTAAGGAGGTATGTGTAGATAATTTTTCTCTCTGAACATTCCTATTTTATGTTTGAAATCAGCTTTAGAGAGAGGGATTTATGGTGCTGCACCAAGGACAATCCCTGTTTCTCTGATTTGATAGGGCTTTAAATCTCAATCATTTTTAAGGACTGGCCAGAGCCCAATCGGAAGAGCTCTCCAAAGTTTGTGCCAGGAATTTTTGCATACAGCTTCTCAGTGGCAAATATTACTCAAAACTGGGCTGCAGCCAGGTTTTCCTTCTCCTTTCCAAAAGGGACATAAATCTCTGATTTGGAAAATGATGAGTAACCCCCAGGTTCCCTTTTCCTATCCCATTTACCCAGTGAGGCCTCAAGTCTTCTGTTGTAATGTGTGATGGATTCCATATGCATGGTTGTGTGGTGTAAACTGTATCCCACATCTTGTGCTTAGCAACTAGTGTTTCCCCAATCTCCAGAGCTGCTTGGTTCCCTAAAGGAGACAGAATATCCAGCCAGAGCCAGTGTGGAGTATGTAGCTGCAAGCTCTAACCTTGGAGCTCTTGGCTCTTCACCTCCTTGAAAAACCTTGGACATTTCTCCCTTTGCTTCAATTTCCTCATCCATAGAGTGGGGAAAATATTTTCTGTTTCCCAGGGAAATTGCAATGGCTGACGTGTATCCAGTTCCCTGTGACCAAGTACCAAGGCCTTTGCCCACTCCTGGGACTGATGTTGACATCAGAAATAAGAAAACAAAGACCCCTGTGATTGAAATAGGTCACCCGGGGTGTGTGGAACCCTTTCTGGGCTCACTGTACAAGCAGGTACAATGAGAGACCTGACTGAAGGTCAGGACTGCCCTGGTTTTGAGAAGCTGCGGAAACCTTCCATCATGACTCATGGCAAATACTTCCAAAACCTTCCCCGTTGATTCCGGAGAAGTGCACCTTCTGATCAGTGGTCTTCTGAGACCACCTAATTGGTAGCTAAGTTTGTACTGCTTGCTCTTCTTCCTGTCACGTGCGGTCACAAAGACATGCCTAGTTTGCTTGAACACATGTTTTTCTTACAGGATCCTTTGACCATCCAGACCAGAAAGTTTAGAATGTGATCTTACATGGTTCCACTGGCTGCCTGGCCTAAGTATAATCTTCAGGTTGTTGAAAATCTGGGTTCCTTTTAGTTTGGAATTAATCTCATTCACTTTTAGCCTCTCATCCCCTCTCCCACCCCAAGCCTAACCCTTGACAGAGCAGTTCTTAAAACTTTTGAGTCCTGGACCTTGTTCAGACTGACCAAAGTAGCAGACCCTGCTTCCCTGAAAAAACGCAAAGCCACACACAGTTTTGCAGACAGTTTCAGTGGCTTCATGAAGACCTGTGGATCCTAGGAAAGCACCCTTGTTCTATGAGTTTTACTTTGGTACCATTCGAATCCAAGCTGTTCTGGATGAGACACTGGGGAATGAGTGTTGTAACCAGCCCCACCATGACCTCTTACATGGCTTTGGAAAGTTGCCATCTCTCTCTGGAGACTCATTTTCCTTAGCTGTAGTAAAAAAAAAAAAAAAAAAAGATTCAGGAGCTCATCTACCACTGGGTTTTGTTTTATGACTCTGAGATTGTAGAGTCTCTTGATCTGCTATTCCATTTCTTTAGGCCCAGCTACATTTAGAATGGGGAAGATACTGACCCTGCTCAGAGTTCTAAGAGTTCATTGTCGCTATTCTAGTGGTGCATTGATTTGACTCCTGATGGACAAAGAGCCCCAATTATCATCTGCTCATGTTCCTTCTTTCCTTTTTATTTACATAAAAAATATATTTACATTTTATATTATTTTTATATTCATAAAATATTTTATGTTCTTCACTTCTCCCTCCACCCTTAACAGCTTTGGAAAGGAGGGAGGGAGGATCATGTTAGTAACTGCTGGGTTTTTTTGTTTGTTTTGTTTTTTCTTTTTTAAAATTTTATTTATTTATTTATTTATTTATTTATTTATTTATTTATTTATTTATTTATTTATTTTTAGATTTTTATTTATTTGACAGAGAGAAAGACAGCCAGAGAGGGAAAACAAGCAGGGGGGAGTGGGCAGAAGGAGAAGCAGGCTTCCCGCGGAGCAGGGAGCCCGATGCAGGGCTCGATACCCGGACCCCGGGATCATGACCTGAGCCGAAGGCAGAGGCTTAACGACTGAGCAACCCAGGCGCCCCAGTGCTGGGTTTTTTTAAATAAGGGTGCCATCAGTTTGAATTGAGAGATCTTTTATCGATGTACATGCTTGTACATACGCAGTTTGTATACAACGTATAACTATTTATACTGAAAACACCCAGATAAATATTTACATGAATTTATTCTGATGACTGTTGTCCTAGCAGTTCACTTGAACAAACATTAGAACTCCTAATTCATGATACATTTTTGAATGATACAGAGGTGAGTAAGAGCCTCTGAAGTTTCTGATGATATCCTTCTAGACAAAATAGTAAAATTATATTACATGATTAAATAACTTGTTATACCAGAATTATATAAACATCCTTACTAATTATGCCTTGGAAGGCATAGTTTTTAGTAAATGGTAGGAACTGATTAAATGTTTTGAATGGCAGGAAAAATTCATGTTTTAATAGATGAATAAATGAACAGCAAAACAGGATAAGAAAAAAATAAGATAGTCTATACTGTCCAGGAACTCACAGTCTGGTAGGGAGCTAAGACTCAGTAGCAGAATGCCCTTTGCCTGTTAGTGCAGAGGTGTGATTTATCATTATGCCATAAGTGGTAGCTGTTACTGAATGTTATATTTCAGGATTCTGAATATTTATCCACCTGATCTTCTTTTTAGCTTTTGCTATCTCCTTTGCTTTAGTTGATGCTTTCGATGATTTGTTATTATGTTGGAGGATCATTTCCAGAGTATATTAAAACAAGGAGCCCTTGGGATTCATCATAGATGACCTAACATTTTATTAAAGGACACATTTTTGGCAATGAATTCTTTGAAGAGTTTTGCTTGCTCTTATGCAGGATTTTTAAGAGTCTCCATTTTATTTTTTCTAAAAGGCCTTCCAGTATCCTGTCCAGGTATTTCTAAAAGAACTTAATCTCTGCAGCCTTTTTTGCCATAGAAGTTATGAACGAACTGTTTGAGAACATCCTATTCCTAAATTTACTATCCTTATAACTTGCTTGTGTAATGTTTTATGTGATGACAGTGATAAATTCTAGAGTGTCTAGCTTTCCTTAGTTTTTTTTTTTAACTTTTTAAAAATTTTAAGTAAACTCTACGCCACACATAGGGCTTGAACTCATGACCCTGAGATCAAGAGTCACATGTTCTATGCACTGAGCCAGCCAGACATCACTGGTCTTCCCTAGTTTTAAGTAATTCTTTCATCATAGAAACTAAAGATTTTTTTCTTCACAAGGAAGAAAAGGCTACATATTTCTCTTTTCTAGAATACCTAGTGGGTGATTAAAGCATACACCAAAGTTCGACATCTTGAATTTATAGCCATCAGACTAAAATTGGAAAATACCTTCCCTGTGATCCTGAAAAGGTTGCAAGTGTGCCAAGTGTAAACAGTCAATGGGAGAACAGACATAGCAAGTTTTTGCAAATAAGAAGAACCATGTAGAAACTACATGAATGCGTATCCAGTAAGGTATTGAGGAATGGCAGTATCTCTGGGATAACTGCCCCACTTCCCACGAGGACTGTGTTGAAGGGTATGTTGCATAGTCCCAAGGCCTGTAGTCAGAGATTACCCGTCCTCATGACTATAGACAGCCTTGGTGTCTTTGTAGTTAACTCTGGATTCACTGGGGCATTTGGATACTCTGAAGAACTTTGTCAGCACTCCAACTTGGGATAGAAATCCATGTGAAAGCATATTTTTGTGTTCTTTGTAAAGGCAGGAAAAAAATTTGGGTTTCTCTCAGTTCTTGGTTGTGCTTGACGTTTCCCTATCATGTTGGCTCTTTCATGAAGGACCCTTAAGGGGGAGATGGTAACAAAAGTGGCAACTGAGGCAAGTTACTCATTGTTGCATTAATACCTCTCACATATCCCAGATGTGGAACATGAGCTCAGCTTTACTCTTTATGGGCCCATATCTAGATTTCCTGTTAGTTCAATTTGACCTGACAGACTTGACTTCAGTCATAATGCAAGCAGATTTTTAAAAATAAACAAACTGACTTACTAGTAGAGTAACGTGTTAGAGAGAAAACAAAAAAACACGCGTCACTTGGCTCTACTGGAGGAGTAAGAGTATTATTTCCTAACATCTGCTGTTCTTTGCCTAATCATTCAACTGCTTATTTTTGAGACTATTCCAATAGGCCCTTGACACCTGAGAAATAAGACCTGCGACACCCTAACACACTGTGCAAAAGGACTGCAAGTCCCAAGAACTGGCCCTTTCACAGTGTCCCTGGGGGAGGCAATGCGCTTGTTTCAGTTCTGCTGTGCTCAGTCAAAATAGTTGACAAGTTCTTCTTGGGAAATTGCTTCAGATCTCACAATATTTTCCTCTTAGTAGCCTCAGCAGTGGTGAGTTCTTGACCTTTGAAGGGTGGGTTTGATTTTTTGGAAAGGCTAGAAGTAATTTGAAGCTGCGTGTTGTGAATCAAGGGAACAAGCAGTTTGCAAGAAAAACTTAAAGAATTAAAAAACTGCAAGAGCTTCGGTTTCTGGGTCTGAATAAGTGAAAGCACCAGTGCAAGGAACTTGGAATACGCTAACTTTGTGACTACGAGCTGGCTGAGCAATAACAGGACATTTTAATATGGTTTGTGCCATAGAAATGGGCACTGGCTTTAGAGACGAACGCTGCCCACTCTGTGACCAAAGAAAAGTATCTCAAACTTTTTGTGCTTCACTTGAGCGGAAAACAGTTAAGATAATCTTTTTAGTGGCAATGAAGATTAGATGAGAGCTTGTATGCCAAGTGTCTTATAGTTGGTACTGTAAATGTTTTTTTGTGTGTATGGTTTTTTATCTGAGAGAGAGAGCGAGAGTGTGAGCACATACAGGGGGAGAGGGAGAGGGAGGGAGAGAATCTCAAGCAGACTCCCCACTGAGCGAGGAGCCCAATGCAGGGCTCTATCTCACGACCCTGAGATATGACCTGAGCCAAAATCAAGAGCCGGACACTTAACCGACTGAGCCACCCAGGTGCCCTGGTACTGTAAATGTTTTTAATTGCTCCTTCTTACAGAAATCAGATACCATTCCTGTTTCCTTTCATAAATAGGCTCACTTCATAATTTACAGCCATAAAATCTTTCTATCCTTAGAGGCTGAAAAGGGAGGGAAACAAAAAAAGATGAGCAATTCTTTTAAAAGGGCATGGCCTCAAGAGGTGAACAAGTATTAATGTGCAAGTTATTAGATTCATTGTCTTTTTCTTTCCTTTTTGCTTTTCTTTTCATGTAGGCATTTAATCTAGGGGTTTCATTATTAACCAGAATGAAGCTGGGGTTTAATATTCCTGGGAATATGTACTAGGGAAGGAGGTGAATCCTCTTATTTGCTGAAGTTTCTGTGCAGGTATCTGTGACTAGTGTCAGGCCCACACCTCTGGATGAGCTGGCATGAAACTTCCTGGCCATGTTGCCTCTCAATTCTGAATTCCTCTGTGCCCCTAATTAGAGAGCAGGGGCATAAGAGACTCAGGATGGTGGTTCTATGACAGCACCAGGCCTGCTACTGTCGTGCTGTTGTTCTTGCCCTTGTCCCACACTGCTCCTCAGAAGCCTTTCTCCAGCCCCAAGCATCTTGCCTTTCCTTATTGTGGTTATATTTGGTTGGAGGCCAGAGCAACACTAACAGGGAGGACCACCTGGTTTGGCTTCATCTTGCCAGATGCTGCAGTGTTTCTTTCTTTGGCACCATTTTATGGCTGTCTGCTCAGTGTCCTTTTCAAGCTTCCCATGAAGTGTCTAGCAAGAGGGCTACCCCATCTATCAGGCCAAGAGCTCCTTAGGTTCAGAGAAATGACACAGAGGTCCAGGATTTCCAACCCTCTCAGTTCACTTACCTACCATATTAAGCATCTTTCAGACAATGATGTGGCAAGAATAACACTCATAGAATTCCAATGTACTGTCCTTGGGGGGTGGGGAGATTCCATTTAAAATTTTTAGCAATTTTGAGGACTGATTGGTTAAGCTCCTTGGTGAACCAACTGGTTATCCTTGGGAGACTTGTCCTTTTAAAGGAGAATCCTGACCCAGAAGAATGTATTTCCAACTGTGACATCAGGAAAATTGTGTGCGCTAGAACAACTTCTAGGTGCCCTCCAGCACAGATTTTGGGGGGTGGGGATGAGAGTTTCAAAGTTTTTCTTCAAGAAATTGTTTATGACAAACATAGTTCACTTGGCTGTTTTGGTTAATTTGCAGCTTAAATATTTTTAAAAACATTTGGAAGGTAGGGACATGCAGCTGCTAAGAATCTAAGACAGTGTTGTTTGGAAAATGCAAATGTTTCTGTTTTGCATTTACTTAATAAGGA